CCCACGAACTCATGTAGTTCGTGGCTATTTTCCTCAGAGTTTGACACTGTCAAACGAAAAAGTTCTGGCTACCATTGGTACCCAGAACAAATTCTCCACCACGCGGTGGAAGGTGATACGCAGGCTGACGCAGGATCAGATGCTTCACCTAGTCTTCGTCATTGATGACGAATCTATGAGGAAGTTATCCGAACTTAAAGGTAGGATTGCATACCGGTTCGGACACTTGAGATTGATGCTAAAAGGAACCACCCCCGCTCATTCTCACCTCATAGATAATACTCCAAAGGTGGTTCAGGATGATAATATAATCCAATCATCCTCGGCTCCGGCAGCATCCATTACGGATGATTGCCCAACAGTGACTGTTCCTGAGGAAGAGGAACTAAACACACGTCCCTCCACAAGCAAGGCTGTGTGCTCTGCCAGTGGGCGTGCTGTTCAGATTCCCACCTCGGTAACAAAGTCCACAATGCCCTCCACGGGCACGGCAACTGTAGCAGGTAAACCACGGACCGCTACCAATAAAACACCCTTAATCGGTAAAATTTTACCGAAGCAATCAAAGGGTGATAGAAATAAAGGTTCTCGACGAGACAAGCGTGAAAGTCTCGTCCGTAAGTCTCTTAACGAGACATAATGAGCGCTCTTGAAGTGCTCCAGGCAAATCTGCACCATGCTAAGGGAGCATCGGCCACCTTGTGCAGAATTGCCCAAATCAATAACATCGCTCTAGGACTTATCCAAGAGCCGTGGGTGTTTGATGGCCAAATACGGGGTCTCAACACAAAATCAGGTAAGCTGGTTTATGACCGTTCGATAGCAGTGCCACGTGCAGCTATCCTAATCGGTGGAGATGTAAAATATCTTCCGTTAACAAACTTTATTTCTAGAGACCTAGCAGCGGTTCTAGTCGAAGTCCCAACACTAGGAGGGGCCACAGATATAGTCATGGCCTCTGCCTACTTCCCAGGTGATGAAGTAACCATTCCACCATCGGAAGTCCAGCAGCTGATCAACTTCTGCAAGTCCACTGGGCGACAGCTAATCTTGGGCTGTGACGCTAATGCCCACCACACAGTGTGGGGGAGCAGCAATGATAATAAAAGGGGTGAGTACCTATTAGATTATATTATGTCGGTAGGATTAAGTATAGCTAACAAAGGTAGTAAACCCACTTTTATTAATGCAATTAGAGAAGAGGTATTAGATCTCACTCTTTGCACTAGGGGTATTGAGGAATCTATATGGAATTGGCGAGTGTCGGACGAAGTGTCCCTCTCAGACCATCAACATATTAGGTTTGAAATTCCCAGTATATCCGAGCAGCAAGATAAAGTGTACCGGCCGAGGAAAACCAACTGGCTTAGGTACAGGGACTTGGTGGGTTCCGAAAATTTTTCTCTAGCTAGGCCACTAAGAACTCGTGAAGAGATAGAGTTGGCTGCAAACCATTTAGGTGAGGTTTTACTGACCTCCTTTCACAACAGCACGGTTGCAGGTAATGCTTCGATTAGAGGTAAGGTTCCTTGGTGGAACACGCAACTAGCTAATAAGCGTAAACTAGTAAGAAGCTTATTCAATAGAGCAAAACGCTCTGGTAGTTGGGAACAGTATAGAACTGCACTCACCGACTACAACAATTCAATCAGACAGTCCAAACGGGCCAGCTGGCGTAGCCATTGTGATAGTATTGATAGGTTGCCTGAGGCTGCTAGACTACACAAGGCTTTAAATAAGGTCAAAACAAATGAAGTAGGACTTTTAAAAAAACCCGACGGATCATTCACTACTGGTCGTGAAGATACCCTCGAGTTTCTCTTGCAAACACACTTCCCTGGTTCCGTATCCGGACCACCCACATCACATTCATATAGGGAAATTACTGCTCCTACAGGTCAGGAATACGCACTATCTGGTGTTATTTTTGACAGGGACAAGGTGAAATGGGCGATCAACTCATTTCAACCATTTAAGGCGCCTGGAGGCGATGGTATCTACCCTGCTCTATTGCAGAATTGCATAGATATCATCATAGACCCATTAATAAAACTCTTTAGGGCTTGTTTTACTATGGGTTATATCCCTCATTCCTGGAGAGGAGTGAACGTGATCTTCATTCCCAAACTTGGGAACAAACCTATGGACCAACCTAAGTCCTACAGACCCATTAGTCTTACGTCTTTCTTATTGAAAACCGTCGAAAGGCTGATTGATCTGTACATACGGAATAAATTGGAACAAACTGTCCCACTCCACTCCACCCAATATGCCTACTCAAAAGGCAAATCTACAGAGGTCGCGCTGTATCATTTAGTCAGCAAAATCGAAAGCACGTTTCAATCTAAAGAAATCGCCTTATGTGCATTTCTGGACGTAGAGGGAGCTTTCGATAACACATCTTACGAATCCATATCTGGAGCACTGGCCCGTAAAGATATAGACTCATGTACAATAACGTGGATAGATAGAATGTTGCGTGATAGGAACATATCCTCCAAGTTAGGTAGCACTATCGTCAGCATTAATGCTGTACGGGGCTGCCCCCAGGGTGGGGTTCTCTCACCATTGTTATGGACGCTGGTAGTCGATGACTTACTAGTTAAACTGGAACAATCTGGATATCATGCCATAGGTTATGCGGATGACCTGGCAATCATTGTTACAGGTAAATTTGACACCACAATTACAGATGTAATGCAAGCAGCATTACACAAAGTCTCGAACTGGTGTATCAAAGAAGGCCTAAGTATTAACCCAAAAAAAGCGGTAATTGTGCCTTTTTCCAGAAGGTACAAAGTAAATATTGGGTCCCTATCTATTAAGGATACGGCTATCGAATGCTCCGATGAAGTCAAATATTTGGGGGTCACCCTAGATAAGCGTCTTAACTGGAACACTCACCTGAATAATATAATTGGCAAAGCCATCCGGGTCATGTGGACATGTAGGACCTCATATGGTAGAACCTGGGGCATAAGTCCTAGAATTATATCATGGTTATACCGCACAATGGTCAGACCCATTGTAACCTACGCAGCTCTTGTTTGGTGGAATAAAGCGCAACAAAGTGCTGCAATAGTCAAATGCAATAAACTGCAAAGACTCGTATGTATCGCTATGACGGGAACTATTCGAACATGTCCCACATCAGCACTGGAGTCCATAGTGGGTCTCACCCCTCTGCATCTCTTTATTAAAAAGACAGCAGCTATGAGTGCAGCTAGGCTACACCCTGTCATCGACATGCACGGAAGTCTCGTCAGTCAAAATTCTATCTGCAGACTAGTTCCTGGCATAGAGATCTGCGATAGGACAGATCGCATGAACATGGAACTTCGCTTCGGTAGGAAGTTCGAAGTCCTCATACCCGATCGACTGGACTGGGTAAATGGCACTCCTGGATTTGAACCAAAAGTGATATCATGGTATACTGATGGCTCAAAAACCAAAGAAGGAGTTGGTGCTGGAATATTTGGTCCTAACACCAGAATCTCGCTCGCGCTGGGTATATGGCCCACTGTCTTCCAAGCAGAGGTTCACGCCATCGAGGTCTGCGCTCGTATCAACATTAACAAAGGGTTGAAAGGCGCCCGAATCTGTATTTACTCAGATAGTCAAGCAGCAATTAAAGCGTTATGCTCCTGGAAGTTTTTCTCAAAGCTTCTAGCAGACTGCTATGACACATTGCAGCAGCTGGCAAGCAATAATAAAGTGACACTGTGCTGGGTGCCTGGTCACACAGGAATCCATGGCAATGAGTCTGCCGATAGTCTTGCACGGGCAGGATCCGCCACTTTAATATGTGGCCCAGAACCTTTCTGTGGATTAAGTTGGTCTACAACTAGGTCTCTAATCAATGATTGGATTTCAACCGAGAGAAGTCGCTACTGGCGCGACAGTCGAGGTAACCGTCAGGCTAAAGAGCTGGTTCTCCCTTATAGCTACAATAAGATATCCACTTTCAGCAGAACAGAGTTGAGGATGCTAGTGGGATATCTAACGGGTCACCATGGGCTACGTTACCATCTCAACAAAATGGGCCTATCTGAAGAGATAGATTGTAGACTCTGCTTAGAGGCAGAGGAGACAACCAGCCACATCTTATGTGACTGCCCAGCTCTGATCTGGGTCAGGAGGAGATCACTGGGTCGGGAATTGCTTTCACCTTCCGACATTAGGAAGTCCTCAACAACCGACATTTTGACCTTCATTCGAAAGGCGGAATGTCTATTGTTCAGTTAGGGTCTGTTGTAGCACAAAAGATCAATCATGGTCGCAGTGCTCTGCTCAAATGGGAGCTAGTACCCTGTTATTTCTATTCTATTCTAACAGCATTACGATCATATACTCTTGCAAGCAACCCACACAAAAAATAAACTATTGTGTTATATGTATATAAAGTCAAAGTACCAATCTCATTTTTAAATTAACAATTACTGATTTCTTTCATTCACTTCTCAATATACTAAAATATTATATTATATTTGTTAAAAATATATGACCTATATCTTACCCATATGAAAACCAACATCTAAATGATTTTTAAGTTCTTCCTCTGTCGCATACATGGCAGTGCACTCTTTGCACTTGAATTTATGTTTCTGAGCCATCTTTTTTTGTGTGTCTTCACATACATGAATTTCGATATGCTGTTTAAGTCTAGAATTTAAAACCATTATTAAATATAATCTATATAAATAGAAATATTTACTCTTTATTAGTTTTATGAGATTTTTCACCGGTATGTCGCCTCATATGACAATTGAATGCGTGCTTAACAGTAAAACTTTGGTTACACTATAGAAAATATATATATTTATTATATTAAATTTTAAATAAAAATAATTGCATTATTAACTTGAGTACAAACGAACGGTTTCGGACCAAAATGTTCCCTCATATGTTGATTGCGTTTGATCTTAACCAAGAAAGTTTTATTACACTGTAATGTATATATACTTATTATATCCATATGTGAAAATAAGTTTTATATTTACTTCAGTGCACTTATAAGGTTCTTCTCCAATATGTTGCCTCATATGAATATTGAGTCCTTCTTTACGAGCAAAACATTCTTTACACTAATAAAATTATATATATTATTGTATTTAATTTTAAATAAAAATAATGGAACTATATACTTCAGTGCATTTGTATGGCTTTTCACCAGTATGTAGCCTCATGTGAAGATTAAGCGACTTTTGAGAGCAATAACGTTTCTCACACTATAAATAGTATATTATAAATGATATCAAAAATTTATTACAATTAACAGAAATATTTACTTCAGTGCATGTAAAAGGTTTTTCACCAGTATGTCGTCTCATATGTCGTTTAAGTGTTTCATTACGAGTAAAAGATTGTTTACACTGTTAAAAATATATACTCATTACATATAGAATTTATATATGACAATAATTGCAATATTTACTTCAGTGCATGCGTAAGGTTTTACACCAGTATGTCGTCTCATATGACGATAGAGATATGTTTTAACAGCAAAACTTTTTTTACACTAAAATCAATATTTACTTATGTTATATATTATATAAAAATAATTGAAAAGCATACTTGAGGGCATGTGTAAGGCTTTTCACCTGAATGTAACTTCATATGAATGTTAAGTGAGCTCTTATCAGAAAAAGCTTGATTACACTATACAAATATATATATTCTTATTTAGTATCGTAAAATAAAAATTAAAGCTATATATTACTTCAGTGCACTTATAAGGTTCTTCTCCCGTATGCTGCCTCATATGAATATTGAGTCCTTCTTTACGAGCAAAACATTCTTGACACTAATAAAATTATATATATTATTGTATTTAATTTTAAATAAAAATAATGGAACTATATACTTCAGTGCATTTGTATGGCTTTTCACCAGTATGTAGCCTCATGTGAAGATTAAGCGACTTTTGAGAGCAATAACGTTTCTCACACTATAAATAGTATATTATAAATGTTATCAAAAATTTATTACAATTACCAGAAATATTTACTTCAGTGCATGTAAAAGGTTTTTCACCAGTATGTCGTCTCATATGTCGTTTAAGTGTTTCATTACGAGTAAAAGATTGTTTACACTGTTAAAAATATATACTCATTACATATAGAATTTATATATGACAATAATTGCAATATTTACTTCAGTGCATCCGTAAGGTTTTACACCAGTATGTCGTTTCATATGACGGTAGAGATATGTTTTAACAGCAAAACTTTTTTTACACTAAAACCAATATTTATTTATGTTATATATTATATATAAATAATTGAAAAGTATACTTGAGGGCATGTGTAAGGCTTTTCACCTGAATGTAACTTCATATGATAGTCAAGTGCGCTCTTATTAGAAAAAGTTTGATTACACTATACAAATATACATATTCTTATTTAGTCTCGTAAAATAAAAATTAAAGCAATATATTACTTCAGTGCATGAGTAAGGTCTTTCTCCAGTGTGAGTGCGGCGATGCACTGTCAACGCACTCAGTGACGAAAACTTATTCCCACATATATCACAATTTAAATATCTGTCTTTTTTATGTGTAAGTTCATGTTTCCTGCAGAAATTTCAAAACAAATAATTTAAGTTAATATTTTATATATTATATTAAATTTAAAAACTTACTTTGAAACAGAATTATTTTTTAATAATGGCTTTATGGTTGGTTCAGTTACTTTGTCTTTTAATATTTGTGCAACATCGTCAATTCCGAAACATGACCAATTATCTACAATACCACTAACTAGAGTTTCAGAAACATTTGTTTCCGGTTCCGTTTTTATGGTATAATTTTCTAATGTTATAACAGAGTACTCTTCGTTTTCTGTACTTGTTTTAGATACTACATTCTTAATAAATTGTTGAGCAATGATGTCATTTTCAATTGATGTGCGATCATTTGTGATGGAACCATCCAGACATTCAGGAACAGTAACTTTAGGTTTCATATTATACTTCTATATTTTAGAATATCGCAAACTCTTTTATAATAATAATTTTTCTATATTTGCTTTGACAACTTTATTTAAAATGCACTTTGCATTCAGTGATATGCATTAAGTAATATTAGCCATAAGTCTCCGTCCTTTTTTGATTTTATGGTATCGTAATATTAGTCTCGACTATTTCATTTAGGTGTTCGACGGAACTTTTTCGTAATATGTTTAGAGCAGTTACAGATTACGGAATGAAATTATATTTTACATCATCAGCAACCACATAAAATATAGTATATGGTTAAAATTGAAAATTATTTTTGCATCGAACAGAAGGTAGCATAAACAATACGAAAGAAATAGAACGCAATGGTTTTTTGTGTATAAAATCGGATATGGATAATAGATCCTTTTACATATAGTTGACCTCTTTTACGTTCTTACATTATATTAACTTCTAAAGATCATTTAAGAGCTTGCATATATTTAAAACATTTTTTAAGTTTTATTTGACTATTTATTCGTAATTAAATAAAAATTTTGCAATACGATGCTTCTCAAATTTGGAAGTTGAAATTGATTGAAAACTTCGGTAATAACTTAATCTCTTAATTAGGTATTCTATTACATATTCAATAATATTAAATACAAGTAACGAAATATATATTAGCTTAATATTTTTACAACGCGATCTACCTAATATTTGTTACTGTCTTAAATGTGTCAAAAAAGGTAAATAAAAAACAAACATTTAAAATGTTTCTTTACCCCAGAGTTGCAATATATATCGCACGATAAGTTCACATTTACACGAAAGTTATTTTCTAAAGATAACCTCATCGTTGATATTACATTCAAATTGTTTAAAATGCATAATATGCAAAATAATATAATAGTATATAATATAATACAACATAATTAAAGTACGAGTATAAAATCTAAATTAAAGATTAAATAAAACTAAAAGCGGAAATAATAATATTTATAATACATATGAAATATAAAACTAAAATTTTCAATATAAAATATAACAGGAAATCATACAACTTAGAAAATAAAATATACAATATTTGAGATTGCTTATAATGAATACAAATATATGTAAATATGTATATATATATTCTAATGCTCGATACTTGGGTTCTTTTTCTCAACATACTATAAGTACTGATAAGTGCATTCTCAAGTAATGATGAGCTGTAAGCTGTAAGAATTTCATTTTCTTTTAAAATACTATAGTGAACAAAGTAGCCAATAAAATATCTAATCCGCACCCTTTCCACATACTCAAGTCTTCAAATAATACATTGAACTCTTTAAATACGGTTCGAAAGTTTTATTAACATTATCTAGGATGTCTTCTTCAATTACTACTTCTATATCAATTTCGCAGTTACCTGATGAAAAAAAGAGCCGATTTTAGCGAACATTTGAACATTAATGAAGAGAAATCCGTTTTTATAGCGGACAGATCAGCATTTGCTCCACACTAGTATGTGTATTAAGCATTATACTACTAAATATTTTAAACTACCTACGAATTTGCTTTTAACATACATGTAGTCTATTAAACCATGACTCTTGAAAGTTTGCAGAATACATAAAACTTCTTGTGAGTCTCGTCAATTTCATTGTATACAATATAACAACACGGGAGACTGCACTATTTGATATCCTAAACAAATTTGGTGCTATTCATAACAGAAACTAGTTGCATAATACCTAACAACAAGTAGGAGCATTTACTCAAGTACTAAGGTATTGTTGCTGAAAAGTGAACCTGTAATCGTAATTAAACGAACACTATTATATACTTACACAAAAAAAATGTACCTACTTGTTTGGTATAGAATACGTTTTCTAAGATACTCCAAAATAATTCAAGGCACTTCATTGCTAACACATCCTATTAATTAACTTTAAAAGATTTTAGTTTAAATATTAGTACTATTATGCATTATTCACAAAAAAAAAAACGATAGAAAACTCCATTTAAAAAACTTGGATTATACGATAAGAATACTAAGTTACAAACGAACTAAAATAATTTAAAAACACAGCATTTTCCTCACTTCTAGGACGAAGTTTACTTCTTCTAGGTGTGATATATATTTATTAAAAAATTGTTTTGATTATATAACTAAAGAAATAGTTACTATTTTTAGTTACTATTTATTTTTATCAAATTTATAAACTCACAATTTTATTTTATGACTTATGTATATCTTAACATATCTATCCTATATCAATAAATAAATGAAATTCCCATTACTAGTTCGAGTCATCTCGAACAAGTTATAGAACAATTTGTTTACAAGTTGAAATTTGCAATAATTTATTCTCTACTTTACAGAAAAAGTAACCGAAGTAGAAATCACAATAAATTAAAAATCAAGATTAATTATTAAACATAAGACAGCACATGTAGATAACATATATTAAGTTGCTTCTGGTTATTCAAATATTTTCCAAATATTTCCACTTGCGTTTTTTGAATATTGGATCTCATTCATAATTTTATACAATCTACAGGTTCTACATTTACAATACTCATAAGTTTACCTAAATAAATTTGATGTGTAATCACAGTTGCTACAGTTACAGAGTCAGTAAAGGATTTGAACATATAATACGGTTTCAGATTTCAGATTTTAAATAAACTTAATGAATAGTTGCTGCCGCATTTATTTTAACACTTTCATTTTCGGTAATGAAATTAGTAAAAATTTCGTTTTCTAATGACAATTGCTCTTTTCTTGTTTCAAGTACAGTATGACTTCGTGGGTGTTGCAATAATCGAGGTTCTTGCAATAATCGATTTTAATTCATTAATATCTTGTTATTTCAGTTTGCTTTTTATTGCAATTAATATTCATTATAACTACCTTATGTTTTAGACCTTTAAGTATAATAACTTTTGTAAGAGGTAAGGAATTTTCCTCAGCCCATTGTATGCATATGTTAAGTGCATTTATTGCCACGCCATTTTTGATTTTAAGTGTAATTACATGACCTCAGTTTCCGAGTGTGAATCGATGTTAAGTTATTCAGCCAGAGATATAATTTTCATACAAAATTCGTTAACCCACTCATTCATTTCTTGTTGAGATATAACATCTGAAATAATTTCATGATTTCATAATATTCTTATGCACCGAGAATGTGTTCGCAAATTCTTATGGTTGAGTATAGGAGAGCAAATAAATACACAAATAAAATATTAAGAATGCAAAAGAGGAAAATAATTAGAAAAAGTTGCATTCTTCACGGTTGTCAATTTTCAAAGTTGCAATAACAAAGGTAATACAGGAAAAATTCAAGAGGTTCAATAACCGAGGAGTTGCGATATTCGAGGCTTGCATTAATCGAGGTCATACTGTACTTCATTTTTTATAAATTCTTGTTCATCTGTAATATCATCAAGTTTAGGTTCACGAACAGTAAAATTTGGTTCGATTTTTAGATTAATTTTTTCAAGTCTAGAGGTTTCTTCATGTTCTAATAATAATTGGTTTGTACTTGTTTCAATTGCTTCTTCTGTTATACGTTGTTGTTTTGTAACGCAATCTTTAAACGGAATTTGGTCAGGCCTCATTCTTATACTCTCATTTTCTAACATTGTAATAGTATATACTTCGTTTTCTAATAACAATTCCTCTGTACTTATTTCAGGTACTTCATTTTTTATAAATTGCTCAACAACAACTTCATCTTCAATTGATGTTTGATCACCTGTAATATTCGACTCCATCTTTATACTTTTATTTTCTATTGAATTAGGCACTTCATTTTCTGATAATATTTTCTCCGTGATTGCTTCTCTAAGGCTGCTGCTGGGATATTCATCTGAAATTAATATTAAAATGTGCATTATTCACTATAATAATAAATTTTCTTTACATTTTACATAGAGTCATTTAAAAATTATATACTAAATTATTCCATAATGATAATAATAAGAAATATGTTTTGGGGGTACAAATGTCCTTACAAATTATGCAACATTAGTCTTATATAGTATATGAATGAACGTATTTGATTTTAAAATAGTTTTATTTATAGTTAAAAATTATTTAATATTTAATTTAAGATTCTAATCAATAGAAATTTTTTTTTGAGTGTTCATGCGAAATACAGATTTTTACAAATTACAAAAACTTTTTAAAATTTTTAGGACTTTTTTTTTGAAATGTGTAATCTAATAACACCATTACGATCATATACTCTTGCAAGCAACCCACACAAAAAATAAACTATTGTGTTATATGTATATAAAGTCAAAGTAGCAATCTCATTTTTAAATGAACAATTACTGATTTCTTTCATTCACTTCTCAATATACTAAAATATTATATTAAATTTGTTAAAAATATATGGCCTATATCTTACCTATATGAAAACCAACATCAAAATGATTTTTAAGTTCTTCCTCTGTCGCATACATGGCAGTGCACTCCTTGCACTTGAATTTATGTTTCTGGGCCATCTTTTTTTGCGTGTTTTCACATGCATGAATTCCGATATGCTGTTTAAGTCTAGAAATTAAAACTATTATTAAATTTAATCTATATAAATAGAAATATTTACTCTTTATTAGTTTTATGAGATTTTTCACCGGTATGTCGTCTCATATGACAATTGAATGCGTGCTTAACAGTAAAACTTTGGTTACACTATAGAAAATATATATATTTATTATACTAAATCTTAAATGAAAATAATTGCATTATTAACTTGAGTACAAGCGTACGGCTTTGAAATAAAATGTTCCCTCATATGTTGTTCGCGTTTGCTCTTAACCAAGAAAGTTTTATTACACTAGAAAGTATTTATACTTATTATATCCACATTTATGAAAATAATTTTTATATTTACGTCAGTGCTCTTATGCTGCCTCATATGAATATCGAGTGAATCTTTACGAGGAAAACTTCGATCACACTATGAAGAATATACACGTTTTATATTTAATCTCAATAGAAAATAATCGCAAAACTTACTTCAGTGCATGAGTGGAGTTTCTTACCAGTATGTTTAGCCATATGACGATTAAGCGAGCTCGTAGTAGAAAAATTTCGACTACACTATAAGAAATGAATACTTATATTTATTTTTAAACAAAAATAATTCAAATATTTACTTCCTTGCATGAGTAAGGTTTCTCTCCAGTATGTCGTCTCATGTGAACATCCAATGCCCCCTTACGAGTGAAACCTTGTTTACACTATTGAAAATATATAATTAGTATTATATGTTATTTCGACAAAAAAAAATAATTGAAATCAAAGTATATACTTCAGTGCATGTGTAAGGTTTCTCACCGGTGTGTCGCATTATATGACAATTGAATGCGTGCTTAAAAGTAAAACTTTGGTTACACTATAGAAAATATATATATTTATTATATTAAATCTTAAATAAAAATAATTGCATTATTAACTTGAGTACAAGCGTACGGTTTTGGACCAAAATGTTCCCTCATATGTTGGTCGCGTTTGCTCTTAACCAAGAAAGTTTTATTACACTGTAATGTATATATACTTATTATATTCATATGTGAAAATAAGTTTTATATTTACTTCAGTGCACTTATAAGGTTCTTCTCCCGTATGTTGCCTCATATGAATATTGAGTCCTTCTTTACGAAGAAAACATTCTTGACACTAATAAAATTATATATATTTATTGTATTTCATTTTAAATTAAAATAATGGAACTATATACTTCAGTGCATTTGTATGGCTTTTCACCAGTATGTAGCCTCATGTGAAGATTAAGCGACTTTTGACAGGAATAACGTTTCTCACACTATAAATAGTATATTATAAATGATATCAAAAATTTATTACAATTAACAGAAATATTTACTTCAGTGCATGTAAAAGGTTTTTCACCAGTATGTCGTCTCATATGTCGTTTAAGTGTTTCATTACGAGTAAAAGATTTTTTACACTGTTAAAAATATATACTCATTACATATAGAATTTATATATGACAATAATTGCAATATTTACTTCAGTGCATGCGTAAGGTTTTACACCAGTATGTCGTCTCATATGACGATAGAGATATGTTTTAACAGCAAAACTTTTTTTACACTAAAATCAATATTTACTTATGTTATATATTATATAAAAATAATTGAAAAGCATACTTGAGGGCATGTGTAAGGCTTTTCACCTGAATGTAACTTCATATGAATGTTAAGTGCGCTCTTATCAGAAAAAGTTTGATTACACTATACAAATATATATATTCTTATTTAGTCTCGTAAAATAAAAATTAAAGCAATATATTACTTCAGTGCATGAGTAAGGTCTTTCTCCAGTGTGAGAGCGGCGATGAATTTTCAAATAATATAGTGACGAACATTTCTTCCCACAAATATCACAATTACAATGTCTGTCTTTTTTAAGTGTACGTTTATGTTTTCTGCAGAAATTTCAAAACAAATAATCAAAGTTAATATTTTATATATTATATTAAATTTAAATACCTACTTCGAAACAGAATTATTTTTTAATAACGGCTTTGTGGTTGGTTCAGTTACTTTATCTTTTATTATTTGTGCAACATCGCCAATTCCGAGACATGAACGATCACCTACAATACCACTAACTAGAGTTTCAGAAACATTAGTTTCCAGTTCCTGGGCCATCTTTTTTTGTGTGTTTTCACATACATGAATTCCGATATGCTGTTTAAGTCTAGAAATTAAAACCATTATTAAATTTATTCTATATAAATAGAAATATTTACTCCTTTTTAGTTTTATGAGATTTTTCACCGGTATGTCGTCTCATATGACAATTGAATGCGTGCTTAACAGTAAAACTTTGGTTACACTATAGAAAATATATATATTTATTATACTAAATCTTAAATGAAAATAATTGCATTATTAACTTGAGTACAAGCGTACGGCTTTGAAATAAAATGTTCCCTCATATGTTGTTCGCGTTTGCTCTTAACCAAGAAAGTTTTATTACACTATAAATTATTTATACTTATTATATCCACATTTGTGAAAATAATTTTTATATTTACGTCAGTGCTCTTATAAGGTTCTTCTTCTGTATGCTGCCTCATATGAATATCGAGTGCTTCTTTACTAGGAAAATATTCTTGACACTAATAAAATTATATATATTTATTGTATTTAATTTTAAATAAAAATAATGGAACTGTATACTTCAGTGCATTTGTATGGCTTTTCACCAGTATGACACCTCATATGAATATCGAGAGAATCTTTACGAGGAAAACTTCGATCACACTATGGAAAACATACACGTTTTATATTTAATTTCAATAGAAAATAATCGCAAAACTTACTTCAGTGCATGAGTGGAGTTTCTTACCAGTATGTTTAGCCATATGACGATTAAGCGAGCTCGTAGTAGAAAAATTTCGACTACACTATAAGAAATGAATACTTATATTTATTTTTAAACAAAAATAATTCAAATATTTACTTCCTTGCATGAGTAAGGTTTCTCTCCAGTATGTCGTCTCATATGAATTTTCAATGCCCCCTTAAGAATAAAACCTTGTTTACACTATTGAAAATATATAATTAGTATTATATGTTATTTCGAAAAAAAAAATAATTGAAATCAAAGTATATACTTCAGTGCATGTGTAAGGTTTCTCACCGGTGTGTCGCATTATATGACAATTGAATGCATGCTTAAAAGTAAAACTTTGGTTACACTATAGAAAATATATATATTTATTATATTAAATCTTAAATAAAAATAATTGCATTATTAACTTGAGTACAAGCGTACGGTTTTGGACCAAAATGTTCCTTCATATGTTGGTCGCATTTACTCTTAACCAAGAAAGTTTTATTACACTGTAATGTATATATACTTATTATATCCATTTGTGAAAATAAGTTTTATATTTACTTCAGTGCACTTATAAGGTTCTTCTCCCGTATGTTGCCTCATATGAATATTGAGTCCTTCTTTACGAGGAAAACATTCTTGACACTAATAAAATTATATATATTTATTGTATTTCATTTTAAATAAAAATAATGGAACTATATACTTCAGTGCATTTGTATGGTTTTTCACCAGTATGTAGCCTCATGTGAAGATTAAACGAGTTTTGAGAGGAATAACGTTTCTCACACTATAAATATTATATTATAAATGTTATCAAAAATTTATCACAAATAACAGAAATATTTACTTCAATGCATGTAAAAGGTTTTTCACCAGTATGTCGTCTCATATGTCGTTTAAGTGTTTCATTACGAGTAAAGGATTTTTTACACTGTTAAAAATATATACTCATTACATATAGAATTTATATATGACAATAATTGCAATATTTACTTCAGTGCATGCGTAAGGTTTTACACCAGTATGTCGTCTCATATGACGATAGAGATATGTTTTAACAGCAAAACTTTTTTTACACTAAAACAAATATTTACTTATGTTATATATTATATAAAAATAATTGAAAAGCATACTTGAGGGCATGTGTAAGGCTTTTCACCTGAATGTAACTTCATATGAATGTTAAGTGCTCTCTTATCAGAAAAAGTTTGATTACACTATTACAAATATATATATTCTTATTTAGTATCGTAAAATAAAAATTAAAGCAATATATTACTTCAGTGCATGAGTAAGGTCTTTCTCCAGTGTGAGAGCGGCGATGAATTTTCAACCAACATAGTGACGAACATTTCTTCCCACAAATATCACAATTAAAATGTCTGTTTTTTTTATGTGTACGTTTATGTTTTCTGTAGAAATTTCAAAACAAATAATTTAAGTTAATATTTTATATATTATATTAAATTTAAAAACTTACTTTGAAACAGAATTATTTTTTAATAATGGCTTTGTGGTTAGTTTAGTTACTTTATCTTTTATTATATGTACAATATCGCCAATTCCGAGACACGACCGATCATCTACAATACCACTAACTAGAGTTTTAGAAACATTTATTTCCGGTTCCGTTTTTATGGTATAATTTTCTAATGTTATAACAGAGTACTCTTCGTATTCTGTACTTGTTTTAGATACTACATTCTTAATAAATTGTTGAGCAATGATGTCATTTTCAATTGATGTGCGATCATTTGTGATGGAACCATTCAGACATTCAGGAACAGTAACTTTAGGTTTCATATTATACTTCTATATTTTAGAATATCGCAAACTATTTTATAATAATAATTTTTCTGTATTTGCTTTGACAACTTCATTTAAAATGCACTTTGCATTAAGTGATATGCATTAAGTAATATTAGCCATAAGTCTTTGTCCTTTTTTGATTTTATGGTATCGTGATTAAATAAAAATTTTGCAATACGATGCTTCTCAAATTTGGAAGTTGAAATTGATTGAAAACTTCGGTAATAACTTAATCTCTTAATTAGGTATTCTATTACATATTCAATAATATTAAATACAAGTAACGAAATATATATTAGCTTAATATTTTTACAACGCGATCTACCTAATATTTGTTACTGTCTTAAATGTGTCAAAAAAGGTAAATAAAAAACAAACATTTAAAATATTTCTTTACCCCAGAGTTGCAATATATATAGCACGATAAGTTCACATTTACACGAAAGTTATTTTCTAAAGATTACCTCATCGTTGATTTTACATTCAAATTGTTTAAATTGCATACTATGCAAAATAATATAATTGTATATAGTATAATACAACATAATTAAATTACGAGTATAAAATCTAAATTAAAGATTAAATAAAACTAAAAGCGGAAATAATAACATTTATAATACCTATTGAATATAAAACTAAAATTTTCAATATAAAATATAACAGGAGATCACACAACTTCGTATTTGAGATTATATTGAATATATTTGAGATTGCTTATAATGAATACAAATATATGTAAATATGTATATATATATATTCTAATGCTCGATACTTGGGTTCTTTTTCTCAACATGCTATAAGTAATGATAAGTGCATTTTTAAGTAATGATGAGCTGTAAGCTGTAAGAATTTCCTTTTCTTTTTATATACTATAGTGAACAAAGTGCCAATAAAATATGTAATCCGCACCATTTCCACATAGTCTAGACTTCAAATAATATATTGAAATTATTATTACTGGTTCGAAAGTTTTATTAACATTATCTACGATGTCTTCTTCAATTACTACTTCTATATCAATTTCGCAGTTATGTGACGAAGATAAGGGCGGAATTTGATTATTATTATTATTTAATTTTCAACGATAGACAAAAAATCATAACTAAGACTAACTAACATAACGATTGTAATTAATTAAGCACGTTGCGGTAGAAGCTATTTTAAACATGATAAGAAATATATTAAACTTAACACTGAACTGACAACAGGATTTTGTAAAATCAATTACTACCTATAGAAGATATGATGAAGATAAGGTAAAACCTATCTTTATAAGTATAAAGAAGATATGAAAATCGAAAAATCGAAAATCGGGCCACATGTGGCCCGCAGATAATGTTTGTGCAGCCAGTAACATGTCTATTACAATGACTCAAATTTTCTTTTTGGTAAAACTGGTAAAACTATATTATTTTATTTTTATGGTATACCAAATAAATAAATTTAAATTATTGAATTAATAAAACTAAATTTAGCATTATAACCGTATGTTAATTTTTGTCAAAAACAACTTTAAATGAATGTATTAGCTTTTGCAGCCCTCCAAACTGTAAAGTAATTTGTATTGGCCCGTGATCGCGTCTGTCCTGGATAGCCTGATTTAGAATATGTGATTTTAGTGGCAGATATACTCAATAAAATTAATCCCAAATCAGTCAATCGAAGTTTTTCCGACTTATTAGGAAGAACTGTGACGAAGTTAAGTATTTTAGGAGTGCCATAGGTGACCTATATGACCTATGACATATAATAACCTATAGATTACTAGGCTACACTCACAATACTATAAGGGTATTCATAAAATTATTATTTAATTTAAGAAGTTTAATTTTAAACAAAAAGAAAATATTGAAGAATAAATGTCAAAAAAAAAATAAATGTTTTTGCTTCTTTCTTTGTCTTGTTGTAAAGGTAAATCTCAATAAATTTTTTTTAAACAAAAAAATTTAGATAAAATATATATATTGTATATTCTATATAAATGAAAAATTTTGCTACTCAAATTTGGTGGCTTCCGTGCCACCCAATCTAATAGCTTAGATTTCAATGTTTTATTTATAATACTAGGATGTGTTACATATAGCAAAGCCTCAAATACTACCTTAAAGCAATTACAGTTAGCTCAAAGCCTGGCTTTAAGAAGACTGTTTAATATTCCATGGTATATTAGATTAATAGACATACATAGAGATCTTAGGATTGACTCAGTGAAAAAAAATATCAGAGACAGAGCTCTAAAATTATTCACTAAAGTTGATACGCTACTTAACCACGCCCTAACAATCCTCAAGTCCACTTCTGGACTCTCAGGAAGATATGCTGATTTAAGGTCCATCATCAACTAAAAGACAAATAAATGATATGATTTGTTAGCATAGTTAAAGCCTAGTGTGGGATAGTGATAAGCCCCCAGCCATTATAGAGTAAAAGTGCGTAATAGCACTAACACAAGAACAAGAAGAAGAAGAAGACAATTTTGTTTGGATAAATTAATATTCGTTTATAAATTAAAAATAGTATTTATTGTTAGATGACAAGTAACATAAAATGAAAACAAAAATAATAATGTAAAAAGATTTTACTCGCCAGAATTCTTAACTACTATGATATCGACTTCCTACTAATAATGGTGCTGCCGGTACATTTTTGTTCTCTGGTGAGTGTGTCTTCCATAGTATTTTACTACGATAAGAATTGGTAATTAAGCTGGTATATATTTGTTATTTATAGAAATAAAAATACTAGAAATAGCTAGATTACAGCGAAACAAAAAAATGGGGGTGTTAGAATAGTTGTCAGTTCAGTTCGCTCTTTAAACATATTTCTGTTTTTAAAAAAATCGTAAGTAAATCCTTAAAGTAAAAAAACATGAATTGTATTTTTATTATATATATATATAAGTATATATTATCCGAGTTTTGAAGTTTTTTGGACTTCTGCGGAATGTTTGTTTGTTTGTTTTTGCGTTATAATAACTTTAAATGTATGAACACTTCTTACCATTTTCTTTAAATAAAATATTTATCAGTAAGATTAATCTTAATATTTATTTATTAAAAATTTATTTAATTAATATAATCAATAAATTATTTACTGTACTATTTTTTTTATCAAAATATATAAAAATTAAACTGACTTACGTTAACCTTAAGTGTCTCTGTGTCTCTAACCCAATTTATGAAATGTACATAATTAATTCAAGTCATATCGATAAACTGATCAAAGAATTAATATAATTATTTTCAATATTTAATTCTCTTAATTACACTAACATCATAAATATAATTGTAACATAACATAGTATGTAAAGATCCAATCCTTTAGTCAATTCAAAACAACAAATGTAAGTTATACGCATATGTTATGTACATTTAATACAAGTTGTTAGATTTAAAATTAATTTATATAAATTGGATTATACATGTAAATATTTTTATTTTTATCAGATTCATCGAATAAACTAATTTTGCCTAACATAGTATTCAAAAATATTTGAACATTTGCTCTAGTTTTTATACTATATTCAAAATTCTCATGTACCATACTCACAAGCTGAACTTTTTAATCTTCTTAAAGAGCTACAGATTTGAACTCAATTTTTTTATGCTCTCATTTTCCACATTTATATGAGTATAAATTTCATATTCATTTCCAATAATAAACGATTACAGCGTTTCAGGAAGTTCATCTTTTATACATTCTGGCGATAAAATAACACTTTTACTACTTGTAGTAATGTTTTTAATTGGGTTTTGTTTAGAACCATCATATCCGTATAATTTTATGCGCAATCAATCGGAACTATTTATTTCTAATTTAAGCTCACATTTAGCATTGTTTAAAGGCTCCGTGTGCTCTTTATGTAGTTCAAGTATGTGAGCATTTAGAATTTTTACTGAATCGAATTCTTTATCACAAACCTTGCAATTTGCCCGTTCTGCTTTTTCCATATCTTAAATTAAGTAAATTTGTATTTAAATTATTTTATTATATATGGCTTTATGTAAAAATAAAATGCATTTTTCCTTATTTGTGATGAATGTAATTCGAAGTTATCTGATATACATACACATAGTAAAAAAAGTCTGCGTCCACTTACAAAATTTTTCTTAAATTTCGCATAACTTATTTAGTTTTTACTCAAATTGATTTCTGTTTTGCATATAATTGTGCAAATTGTTGCTTTTGCATATAATTGTGTTCAAAAGAATAAATATTAAATTTTTATGTAGTACTTCACTTCAAAAATCAATTTGAGTAAATATTAAATAAATTATGCGAAATTCAAGAAAAAATTTGTGGGTGAACGCAGACTTTCACTGCTATGTATATATACTAGTAACATATTTAAACAAATAAGTATACATACAGTTAGTTTTTATCTTTAAATAATTTACAAATATATTACACACAAATGCTAAACTGTTTTGAACTTATGTATTCTAAAAAAAGCTCACCTATGTTAAAGTCTTCCTCTGTCACATGAAAAGATTCTACCTGGGCTTCCTTTTTATTTTTGCTTTTAGATGAATGCATTTCGATGTGTTGCTCAAGCCTGTAAAATTAAATTAGTATTAAATTTATTCTATCAATTTAAATGAAATTACTTCTTATTGGTTTTGAATGTTTCCTCGCACTGATCGCAGCCAAATGTATTTGCATGCGTTTTACTATGATAACGAAGATCAACGGCTCGAATAAAACGCTTTCCGCAATCGTTACAAACGTGTGGCTTTTCATTAGTATGTCGTTTCATATGAAGATTTAGTGTTGCCCTACGAGCAAAACTTTGTTTACACTATAAAAAATATATATATGCATTATAATTAATATTAAATGTAAACAAATACTATATATATACTTCAGTGCACGTGAATTGTTTTTCACCAGTATGAATCTTCATGTGAAGCTTGAGTCCTTGCTTAACCACAAATCTTTTATTACACTATAAGAAATATGTATGCATACTTATTGTATTTACTGAATGAAATGAATATAAATGCAATACTTACTTCAGTGCATGAGTAGGGCTTTTCACCAGTATGTTGCCTCATATGCTGCTTTAGTGCATTGTTAAGCGTAAAACTTTTGTTACACTATAAAATAAATCTACTTTTATATATAATATTTAAATTAAGTTAATTGCAATATTTACTTCAGTACATTTGTAAGGTTTTTCACCATTATGGCGCATGATATGATTTTCGAGTCCTTCCTTGCTAACAAAATTTTGTTTACACTGTTAAAAATATTTATAAAAATTTTTGTTTTCATATATTAAATATCAAATAAAAGTAATTGAAATAGATATATACTTCAGGACATGCATAGAGTTTTTCACCAGTATGTTGATTCATATGAATATTGAGTGATCCCTTATTAGAGAAACGTTTATTACACTGTAAAATATATTTACTTGTTTTATATTTATTTTAAGATGAGATTATCTTCAATATTTTACTTGACTGCATATGTAAGGTTTTTCACCAGTGTGAGAACGACGATGAATTTTCAGTCTACTTAGAAATCGAAACTTCTTGTCACAGAAATCACAATCAAATTGAGGCTCTCCCGTATGTGCACTTTAATGAGCAACGTGTAAAAAACAAAAAAAATAATAATGGTTTATCATACTATTCATACATCATATTAACTCTACAAACTTACTTTGTGGTGTTTTTAGATACATCATCTGTTGTAGCTTGTTGCATAGCACTATCAACTTCAAACGAATTTCTTTTGTCTATGATTGCGCCAGTAAGAGTTTCTGTAGTAGTTTCTGGATCGGTTTTTATAGTTTCATTTTCTATTGTTATAACAGTATATTCTTCGTTTTCTAATAACACTTGTTCTGTGCTTGTTTCAGACATTTCAGTTTTTATAAATTGCTGCGTAAAACCAGTATCGTCAATATATGTAACATTATCAGCGGCTTTTAGATCTATCCTTATATTTTCATTTTGTAATCTAGTGCACATTTCGTTTTCTAATATTATTTTCTCAGCGGTTGCATCGGTTTTTGTTTTATTTTCTTTATACGAAAAATAAATTAAATTGATTTAAGAAACATCATCAAAATATGATTTACTACATTTGTTATTAACAAATAAATACAAATTATGCTTGATATTCATTACACTGTACAAAATATGTTAACTTTACATAAAACCCAAGGTGTGCTTTTCATCGGATTTATCGTCAACTTATACTCTGCACATCAACGCGAGGCCTATATGTTCCAATACTCGTTGACGATAAAGTAGATAACAACGTACCACAATATTGTATAAACACACATTTGTATAAATATGGTTTTTTGATTCACTTTGGGAGACTTAAGTTTTTCATCTCAACGCTTGGCTATGTGCTTATATATGACTATATGTTATATGTGATTATATATGAAGCATTCGATGTCGATAAGAAAATAATAATATAAGTATATAATATTATGTATAATAGATATGTATAATATTATGTACTGTATATGTAATAAATATGTATACGGTAATATATATATATACATACAATAAATATGTTTAAAATACTATAATTATACAGTTAATATGCAGTTTTTTAAGTTTTTTAGAAGTTAAGAATGTATTGGTTCTCATTGTAACGGAAACTTAAGAATTGATACATTTTGTTTGTTTTTTTTTACTTCGGCCGTTCGCGAGAAATGAAGAATTAGCATACAAATACGCAAATTATTTAATAGTATTTTATAAGATTAAATTCTATATATATTAAAAATAACATACGTATATGAACTCCATAATGAATTTTAAGTTTTTCCTCTGTCGCATATATCGCATGGCATTCCTTACATTTGAATTCTTGATTTTCGGCTTCATTGTTACAATTTGGCTCTGATGAATGAATTTTGGTATGCTGCTTTAATCTGCAAAATAAAATAGTTACAAAATTAGTACTACATTTCGGATATAAATCAAAATTTTTTTACTGTTTATTGGTTTTGAATTTTTCCTCACACTGATCACAGGCAAATGGGCGTAGATGAGTTTTACTATGGTAAAACACCTCAATAGCTCGCAGAAAACGTTTTCCACAATCAAGGCAAGCATGTGGTTTTTCACCAGTATGTATCTTTACATGGTGATTAAATACTTGCTTAGCCGCAAAACTTTTATTACACTATAAAAAATATTTGAACTTATTGTATCGACATCAAATGAAAATAGTAGTTTTAGTATTTACTTCACTGCATGTGTAGGGCTTTTCACCAGTATGTCGTCTCATATGAACATCGAGTGACTGCTTGGAAGTAAATCTTGTATTACACTGTAAGAAAATGTATCCTCATTATATATAATCTTAAATAAAAATAATTGAAATATATACTTCATGGCATGTGTAAGGTTTTTCTCCAGTATGTGTCTGCATATGAAGCTTGAAAGATGTCTTCAAAGAAAAACTGTTTTTATTTAAAGTTAAAAGAAAATAATTAAAATAAATACTTCAGTGCATTCATATGGTTTTTCACCAGTATGTCGTCTCATATGACTAAACAATCCTGCCTTACGAGCAAAACATTGTCCACACTATTAAAATTATATACATATTTTATTTAAACTTAAATTGAAATAATTGAAATGTATACTTCAGAACATTTGAAGGGTTTTTCACCAGTATGTCGTTTCATATGAACATAGAGCCCATTTTTACGCATGAAACATTGTTCACACTATGAAAATAATGTACACATTTTAATTGAACTTAAATGAAAATAATTGCAATATTTACTTTAGAGCATTTGAAAGGTTTTTCACTACTGTGACGTATTCCAGCGTGTGTGCTTTCGTAAACGCTACAGAAAACCAAAACAAAAAATTAATTATAATATTTTTTATTTCATAATAAATCTATTAACTTGCTTTAAATCTGTTAGTATGTTTTCTGTTAACAATTGGTCTGATGTTCTTTCATTTACTTCATCATTTATAAATTCTTCTGACACGGTGATACTTTCAAATGAGTTTCGGTTGTCTATTATTGCACCAGTAACTGTTTGAGAAACAATAGTTTCCGACTGCGTTTTAATAGTCTCATTTTCATTTAGTATATCATAGTGATCTTTTTCTTTTAATAATAAACTTTCTATACTTTTTTTATTTACTTCTTCTTTAGCACTAACTAGAGTTTCAGAAGCAATATCATTTAATTCCGTTTTGATACTCTCATATTCAATTACTTCATTTTCATACTTCATAAAAGGTTGTGAAATAATATCAGCTTCCGTTGACGTTTGTTCTACAAAATTTACTGGTAGCGTAACATTATTATTAGTTGTAACATTTTCCATTGAATTTTCGTTGAAATCATCAATTCTATAAATTTTTGTTACTGAGAAGATGGAAGGATTCTGTTCTAATTTTGGACTAAGCTTAACATTCTGGAAGGTTTCAGATCCACCTTTTTCAATCTCAAGTATATGCAAATTTGGAGTATCAAATGAATCTGATTCTTTTTCACGAATCACACAATCTACTCGTTCTTTTTCTATGCCATTTAATAGGTCACTATTATATTTAGCTAAAATATATACAAAATTTTTATTAGATATTTAATTTTAACACTTCTTTCATATTACATTATAAATTGATCATAATACTTAATATTAAATATATTTAATATAAATATATATATAATATATAAATATATATATAATATATAATTATATATATAATATATAAATATATTTATTTTTATATAATTACATAGACTTGATTTCAATGGTTGTAAGAATACGATGATATACGAGTATATATAGTGATATATGTGTATATTTCGATTTGATAAAAATATAGACAGAATAGTTTTAATTTTTATTGATTGATTTTGTGAATAACATTTATTCAAGATAAACATTTCATAAGTCTTTTGAATTTACTTTTGAAATTTATCGTTCTGCTCACAAATAATCCCAGAAAACATATAAACTATTATATTGAATAAGGAATTTAAACCCAGAAAATGTAGAATTACTATTGTATTTCTTTCAGTTTTAAAAACATAAAAAATAATTTAGTGTTAAAAATACGTCACCTGTATGAACTTCCATATAATGAGTATCAAGTTCTTTCTCTGTTACATGCATCGCCTCGCATTCTTTGCATTTGAACTTATGCTCTTGGACTTCATTTTCAAAGTTGTGATTTGATAAGCCTGTTGCGGTATGTTGCTGAAGTCTGCAAAATAAAATTATTATTAAAGTTATTCCATTCATCATATAGAATGAATTACTCGTTGGATTTAAATTTTTCTTCGCACTGGTCGCAAGTAACTGGACTAGTTCCACTGTGGTGGCGTAGTTTAAGACGTCGTATAAAATATTTTCCACAATCTTTACAAACGTGTAAGTTGTCACTACTGTGTTTCAGCATATGATGATAGAGTGCAGTTTTAATAGAGAAATTTTTATTACACTACAAAATACATACTATTTTATTCAATCTTAAATAAAAATAATTTATATATATACTTCAGTGCAGGTGTAGGGTTTTTCACCAGTATGTCCCGCCATATGATTATGGAGCAAATGCTTAGCGGTGAAACCTTGTTTACACTACAAAAATTTAAGTTTATTATTCAACGGTATATAAAAATAGGTAATATTTACTTCAATGCACGTGTAAGGAGTTTCATTGATATTTCGTGCCTTGTGATTGTAGAGTGAATGCTCAGCAGTTAAACTTTGATTATTCTATTAAAATTAAAAAAAAAATCATTATTACTATATTATTAATTATTTTAAGAAATAATGATATTTACTTCAGTGCATTCGTACAACCCTACGCCAGTGTGTATCTTCATATGACGTTTGAGTGCATGCTTAACAGTAAAGCTTCTGTTACACTGAAAAAATTTTTACTTATTGTATTTAATCTTAAACGTATATATAATTTAAATAATTACTTCTGTGCATACGTGGGGTTTTTCACCAGTATGTCGCCTCATATGAAACTTGAGAGCATGCTTTATAGCAAAACTTTTATTGCACTATAAAAAATATTTATTTATTATATTTATTCTTAAATAAATATGATTTCGATATTTACTTCAGTACATGTGTAGGGTTTTTCACCAGTATGTAGCATCATATGATACTTAAGAGCATGCTTAACAGCAAATTTTTTATTGCACTATAACCAATGTTTATTTATTATATTTAATTTCAATTTTTAATAAAAATAATTGTAATATTTACTTCAGTACACGTGTAAGGTTTCTCACCAGTATGAGAAACACGATGATTTTTCAGCGAGCTCATATTCGGAAATTTCTTTTCACAAAAATCACAAGCAATAAGTTGTTTTTCTTTCTGCATATTTTTAGGAACTCTGTGAAAAATTTGGAACAAAATTAAATATATATTATGTTATTTGTATATTATTAAAAATTTACTTCAAAGCCGGTAATTCATTGTTGATCAATAAATTCTGTGTGGTTGTTTCAGTTAAGTTATTTGCTATTAACTTTTGTGGATCACTATCACCTTCGATTGTAGGTCCATCATTTATAACTGTACTAGTCTCTGTTTCAAGAATACTAATTTCTGGCTCCTTTTTAATAGTTTCATTTTCTATCGTTATAACAGAGTACTGTTCGATTCCTAAAAATAAATTTTCTGTACTACCTTCAGATAATTCATTTTTTTTATATTCTTTCTCATCAACACCATCGTCGAATATAGCACAATCATTTATAACTGGATCAATTAGAGTATCAGGAATAGTAGCCCTTAGCTCTATTTTTGTAGTCTCGTTGTCTATTATTATTGTAGAATACTCCCTAACCACAGTACTTCTTTCATTTACTGCTTCTTCTATAAATTCTTGTTTAGGAGTGTCATTTTCAAACAAAATTTCATTTTTTGTTATCGCACCAACTAGATTGTGAGGAATAATAACTGTTGGTTCCGTTTCAATACTTTTGTTTTCTATCGTTAGAACATTTCTTGGCATTTCTTCATCTTTCGAAAAATGTGAAATAACCTTATCTTCCATTGATGAATATTTTGTTGGTGACATTATATTATTATTAGTTGAAACATTTTTAATTGGAAGTTCGTTTAAATCATCAAGTCTGTAAATCTTTGTTAGCGAAGACACAGAATTATTTAGTTCTAATTTTGGTGAATTTTTAGTACTTCGATTAGTCTCAGAATCTTTTTTAATTGATGTGAATTCTTTATGACGAGTCACAGAGCCTTTTTGTTTCTTCGTATTGTGTTTGGCTGAAATAAATGCATCTATTAAAAAGGTCTTATTTTATGTGACTTTATATGTTATTCATAATATATATGTTAATATTTAAAAATTTTTTGTTTAAAATTGATTAATAATAAGCACTGTTTTTTACGTATAAAGGTGTTCCCGGTATTTCTTGAACTTACAAAATATGTTAAAATATAAACTATAATTTCGTACCGACATTCAAAGGTTGTTCAAACTTAATAGTATCTATCATGTATAATTTGTATGGTTATAAAATTAGTTTTGATTTGGAATAAAGTATTGATCAGTTAATAAAATTATTTCGATAATTAACATTTATATTTATTTAATTAATCTATAAATTTAAATAACAAAAATTTTAAACTATTTTCATATGAAATGCGGTTTTAAAATTAACACACGATTCAAACATTATGTGATTGATTAGAAATTTAAACTCAAAGTAACAATCATTTTAAAATATAAAATTACTCTTTTACTTTTATGTACTTCCATATTATAATGAGTTTTGAGTTCTTCCTTTGTCGCATACATCGTTTTACATTCTTTGCATTTAAATTTATGCTCTTGGGATTCATTTTTATCCTTGCTTTTAGATGAATGAATTCTGATATGTTTCTTAAGTCTACAAAATTGAAATATTATTATAATCAAATTAATCAAGAAGAATTACTTACTCCTTATTGGTTTTGAATTTTTCTTTACATTGATCGCAAGCGAATGGACGTGCATGAGTTTTGCTATGATAGTCTAGATTAAGGGCACGTATGAAACGTTTTCCACAATCTTTGCAAACGTGTGGTTTTTCAGCAGCATGTCTCTTCATATGATGATAGAGTGAACTCTTAATAGAAAAGCTTTTGTTACACTATAAAACATTTCGTTGTTAATTAATTTTAAATGAATATGATTGAAATATATACTTCAGTGCATTTGTGTGGTTTTTCACCGGTATGACGCGTCATGTGATCATGGAGTGAACGTTTAGCAGTGAAACTCTGATTACACTGTAAAAATTTTAACTTTATTAATTATTTAATATTAAATAAAAACAATATTGATATATACTTCATTACACTTGTAGGGCCTTTCGCCAGTATGTGTTTTCATATGACGAGTAAGTGCATGTTTTAGAGCAAAAGTTTGATTACACTGTACAAAAATATATAATTATTATACTTAATAAAAGTAACAAATGTATACAAAGGTGCGAACAGTAATGAATTACAATAACAAAAGTGTTATCTTTAGTTTATTTATTTGAATGACTATACATATTAAAGCTATTTCAAGCATTGTCAAATACACAGCATAAGCGGTATTTCTACATGGACTACACATGTTAGGCTTGAATTTTTGATATATCGAACATTTGAAACAATAATACGTCTCGCTTATTAACAAAGTATGCCAATGTTGGTAAAATTTTAAACAGTTGCCATGCTTTTGTTAGAATATACGTTATAAAACACAGCCTGTATAAATGCAATTAGCTACTAACTATTAAAACAGCTGTATAGTTAGCTCAAGAGTTAACTTGATTAAAAATTTATTTTAATTTTAATTTTTAATTAAAAATTAACTATTATATTCATTTTAGCATATTTTTTTAAACTATCTGTTGGCAAAGTATTATTTTCAAGCACATCGTTACTCGTTACTTATTGTTACAGAGAAATTATGCTAAACGTTATTCTACCGATCGTCAAAACAAATCATTACTGTTGGAACCTTTATACTTAAAAAATAGTTCATTTTCAACACTATTGATTTTACTTAATAAATTAAAATTAAAAAAAAAAATTGCAATATTAACTTGATTGCATAGATAAGGTTTTTCACCAGTATGTCGCCTCATATGATACTTGAGAGCATGCTTAACTGCAAAACTTTTATTACACTATAAAAAATATATATAGATGTTATATTTAATATTATATAAAATCATAGCACAACTTACTTCAGTACACGCAAATAATTTTGTACCAGTATGCCGCGTCATATGACATTTAAGTGTATTCATATGAGAAAAGCTTTGATTACACTATTAAAATTACATATTATATTTTAAATAAATGTTATATATTAAATATATTTACTTCAGTGCATGTAAAAGGTTTTTCACCAGTATGTCGCCTCATATGACGATTGAGTGACTCCTTAACAGAAAAGCTTCGATTACACTATAAAATATTGCTTATAATATTTAGTATTAAATAAAATGGATTGCAATATATACTTCAGTACATGAGTAAGGTTTTTCACCAGTATGAGAACGACGATGATCTTTTAATGCACTTAATGATGGAAATTTCTTCTCACAAAAATCACAAACAACGCGATTTTCTCCATATCTCTCATGTTGTTTTTCATGCAACTTCAAAAGGTTAACTGTTCGTAATTTTGCATTACATGTAGTGCAAGGAAATGCGTCAGATTCCGAATGAGTTATGAAAATATGTCGCTCGTAGCTAATTGAAGTTTTAAAAGATTTTGTACAACCAGAACATTTTATTGGACCCAACTGAAAAATAAAATAGTGTGAGTAAAAAGTTAGTTACATTTAATTACTTGAAAAATTTTGAAAAAATAATCTTTTCACTGAATTAATAAATAATGTATAAAAGAACTTTAACTGATATTTCTAGAATTCGTTACGTTAGGAAATAAAAAAATTACAAATACATTTAAAAATACCAAATAATTATATATGCCATAATAAGATTTATAATTAGTTATATTGCATTATTTAATATAAAATAATATAATAACTTATTTTATAAAAAATCAATTAATATAAGAAAGCTTGACATTCATTTGTGGTGAGAAAATACACTGTAATTACCCTTTTATCTTTGATGTTTACTAGATTTGAATAAATGTACATAGTTATTGCTTTTTAATTTTTTAAAGAAAAATATATTAAACAAAAAGCAAAACGTAACTACAAAGGATGATGGTTCCAAAAATGACCGGGTCTACATCCCGAAGCTACTCGTCGCCAGGGACGACCAAGTGCCGTTCGACATCTCCCAGAAAGACTTCACAAGAAGCTCCCAGTGGGCTACAACAACCACAAAGGATGATATATAAAAACAAGAACAGTCAAACAAGAAATCGATTGTTTTCACGTTATTAGTTTTTACTAAAGTTAAATAAATTTTATTTTCCCTGTAGCAGATACTGAGCTTTAGAAAAATTAATGATTCGAAAGAAATTTTTAGGGTAAACTTTTAATAAATGAATTTGCTGAATTATATATTATAGAAATTAAAAACAAAAGGAGTTTTTACATTCGAAATTTTCTTTGTGTTCTATAGTGTAATATTGAATAATAAAATTGCAAACATTTCAGTATACAACTACATTACGAAATTAAATTTTTGGTCACATTTATGTTTTATCGAAAAGTATTTTGATGAACATTTTAAATACAATACTTTATTTGACAAATAAGACTGGTAAAAAAACAAAAACTTACATGAAATGTATCATAACTTTCGCCACAGCAAAAGCATATATTGTCCCGCTCCATATTAACTGCATCCTCTTCGATTTTCTCAATATTTGTCATCATTTCTATATTTGGTAGGTGGAACCCAGTATTCAAGTGACACAAGTTTAAATGTTTTTCAAGCTCCTATAGAAGAAGACAAGATTTAGAAAAACTTTAAAAAAAATAAAATCCAGTACTTACGCTAAATCGTCTAAACGACTTATAACAATTACCGCATTTCTGTTCTTGAGTACAATCTTCTTCTGAAGTATCATTGCTTAAATCTACCATATTAAATTCAGTAGTTGTTTCCGATTTTACTACACTATCAGTTAGTGTAAAATCAACTATAGGGCCTTCCTCGCCTCTAATGGAAATTGTTTTTAAAACGTGACTCATTTCTTTTAATTTCAGCTTTCAAATGTTTTCTCATTAAAAATAATCCCAGTTCAATCCAGAATTAAAGTCGTAACATTGTACATTGTCATCAGCACAGCGAAAATAATATTTATTTACATATAAATAAAACATCAGTTTATTTTTCAAAAGATTGGCAAATAACAAACGCACTTCCATACAGAAAGCTCGGTATATTGTTTTCAAATAGAGTAAACACAAAGTGAAGTTGGTTTGCAATGGCACAACAATTGTATCTTCATTGAGGCAGAAGTAAGAAATACTTTTTATTGTACTTCATTAACAAATCGTATATATATATACATATATATCTAAATTTGTTTACATATTGTTTACCTAATACCACATTCACTATATTGAACATTGAAATGACAAATGCAATTTAAAAAAAATCATAATTTATTATGCATACCAGAGTTGCAATTTATGCAGGACAAAAACTTCATATTTACATAAAACAGATTTAGTTCATAAGGGTATCATACGTGCTCAGTAACTCGGCAACATATATGTTTATGCGTTATTCAATGTTACCGAGTTAAGAAATTACCAAACATCAAGACTAAAATTTTTTCTGATATTTTGTAAAACATCAGCTGATTTTTATTATTGTGCAGTGCTGCGAAATATTTTGATTTATTTGGAATTTGAAGTGTTTCAAATAATATTAAATAAATAAATTTTAGTAGAAATAAAATAATTATATAAATAATTCTACTTTTTCATCATTTTACTTTCAATTTTTATGCTTTTGTGTAAAACAAAATCAGCAAAAATAAAAGCGGTTTCGTTGACACTTCAATATTAACCAGAAAACGTTCATACATTTGTCATTTTATTGTTAAACTATTCGAGAAACGTTTATTACCCTCAGTTAATTTTTATTTCATCTTGAATTTCATAATAGTCCGTTGTAAAATTTTATATTGATACTGTTTTTGGCTCTAAATTGAAAGATAATGTATAAATGAAATTCCGATGAATTATATAGACAACTAATAGTCCGTTTCAGCTGGCATTGATTTATTGCAATTATTTAAAATATATGTTTAAGCTGCACATTCATTGTAATTGTAATAAACGAAAAATGTAGTTTTTTACTTACTTAACAACGCTATCATCCATCACTTACGTAATTGCCTAATAAGAAACAGAAACACTGTTCTAATGTTTTTACGTTACTTAACAACGCTATCATCCAACATCCAAAGAACGAGCCTTTCGTTGAAACGAAGGCTGAAGTTAAGGGACATTTCAAATGTAACTATGTGTAAGATAAATTTTAAGCAAAAGATAAGTTGAAATAACTAAGAAGTGACATTTTTTTTAAACAGCTGCAAATAATTTAAATATATAGAAAAAAACTGTAACTATTATTAATTTAAAATAGAGTGAAAAATAATAATTGACATACCTGAAACCCACTACAGCTAATTAAACTGTTGAATGCCATCCTTTATAGGTTTAATAATCAACTTTTACAATTTCCCAGATACAAATGGTGTTTGGAGCATGTAATTTTTAACATTAGATTTGTAAACAAAAAACATATGATTTGTTTAATTTGGCACAGTATAAACACTTTCCAAATTAACTTAATTTAATTTTAACGAAATTGATTAAATTTGGCTGTCTGAACATAGTATAAGTATATTTTGTTAATAAAAAAATAAATATGCATTTATTGATACATATTCAAAATTACATGATAATTACAAAGTAATAATATTTTTTTGCGGATAGGATGAATCCAATTTGTAATGATAATAACAGTCAAATAATATATGCATTTTATACATAATATGTGTGGTAAAAATATTTTAAAGACTATCGAAATTTTTTATATATATATGGTATTTAAATTTTTGCATAGGATTATAAAGTTTTTATTTTAAACAATGCATTTCAAAAACTCTAAATTTAAATTATATTTAAGTTTGGTGGAACACACCATAATAATAAGAATTAGCAAATATTTAACTGAATACAAAAAAAATTTCAGACCTGATGATTGGGTAATTTGTTAAATGGGTAACGTTGTAATCTTAGAAAAACAAATATCCACAATATTTCCTCACTCTACCGAGTTATCGAGGTTTGAATACCCCTATTATATATAACTATAAATACAACGAATATTACAATGTCTGTCAAAATGTGATCTAATGAATATATACAATTCGTTTCGTAGTTATTTTTTATTTTTTTCGTACTTATTTTTTATTTTTACTTTTAACACACTATAAAAAATATATATAGATTTGTATAACATTTCATCTTATTTACACTTATTTGCAATATTTACTTCAGTCTAGAGTTTTTCACCAGTATGTCGTCTCATATGAATTTTTAGCCCTTGCTTACGAACAAAACTCTGTTGGCACTATGAAATATATTTAATTATGATTTTTAATCTTAAAGGAAAATAATTGCAATATTTACTTCAGTGCATGAATAGGGTTTTTCACCAGTATGTTGTCTCATATGAATATTAAGCACATGCTTACGAGCAAAACTCCGTTGGCACTATGAATTATATTTAATTATGATATTTAATCTTAAAAGATAATAATTGTAATATTTACTTCAGTGCATGGATAGGGTTTTTCACCAGTATGTTGCATCATATGAATGTTAAGTCCATGCTTATAACCAAAACTTTTATTACACTGTAAAATATATTTATTAATTAAATTAAATCTAAATATATTTAATACTAAATAAACCTAATTGCAATATTTACTTCAGTGCACTGATAAGGTTTTTCACCAGTATGTTGTCTTATGTGACGATTAAGAGACTGCTTCAAAGCAAAACTTTTATTACACTGTGAAAAATATTTATTTATTATATTAACTTTTAAACATTGTTAAACGCTATACTTACCTCAATGCATGAGAAAAGCTTTTCACCAGTATGTCGCTTCATATGACACTTAAGTGTGCTCTTTCTAGAAAATCTTTGATTGCACTAATAAAATTATATACTTATTATATATTAATTTAAAATAAAATAAATTAAAAATTTACTTCGGTACATTTATAAGGTTTCTCATCAGTATGAGAACGACGATGATTTCTTAATGTGCTGCAAAACCGAAACTTCTTCTTACAAAAGTCACAAGCAAAATATCGCTTTTCTGTGGTTATACCTTTATGAATACTATACCATTTCATACAAAAGTTTAAATATATATTATTTATATATTACAATTAATTTTTTAACTTACTTCGAAATTGATAATTCCTTTTCGTTAAAGGAATTTTCTGTGGTTGTTTCAGTTGCATTATTTTTTCTTAAATTTTGTACTTCACTGCCACTTTCGAACGAGGTTCCATTGTCTGTAATTGTACCACTGAGTGTTTCAGTGAGAGCAGTTTCCGGTTCCATTTTTATGAATTCATCTTCTATCGTGTTATTTTCTGTACAAGCTTCATAAGTTTCAGTGTTTACAAAGCCCGGTAGAATAATGCCACTAGTTTGATTTTCGAAAACTATAGTTCCTGGTTCCAATTTTGTTGTCTCATTTTCTATCATTATTACAGAACAGTCTAGATTTTCTAATAACAAACTCTCTGTTGCTTTTTCATTTATAAAGTTTTGTTCAACACCAGCTAGAGTTTCTGAAGCAATATCGTTCAGCTTCTGTATAATACTCTCATTTTTAATTACTTCATTATCATACTCAACATGAGGTTGTGGAATAACGTCTGTTTCCGTTGATATTTGTTCTTTAAGTTTCTCTGGTAGCGTAATATTATTATTAATTGTAATATTTTCAGTTGAATTTTCGTTGAAATCATCAATTCTGTAAATCTTTTTTATCGAGAAGATGGAACGATTTGTTCCTAATTTTGGAGTAAGCTTTCCTTTGTCGAAGGTCTCAGACTCATCTTTGTCAATCTCAAGTATATGAGAATTTAAAGTTTCAACTGAATCGAGCACACAATCTGTTCGTCCAGTTGCTATATCATTTAATATAACAATAATATGCATTAAATATTTAATTAGAAATTATCTTGTATTATATTATTTATTACATATAACATTAATTTTAATATTAAAAATAATTATATTTTATATATAGTTATACCCTGGCTTTAGGAGTATATATAAAAGTATATACATAAATTGGTTTGATAAAATATGAAAATAGTATTCCTTTTACTTATTGATTTTGTGAATGTAATTTATTCAAAATATACATTCCATGTCTTTAGGAAATAAAACCTCTCCTTAAAAAATAAAAAATGTATATGTTCTAATAATACCTCACCTACATGAACTTTCATGTCATAATGCTTATTAAGTTCCTCCTCTGTTGTATACATCACTTCGCATTCTTTGCAACTGAATTTATACTTTTGGGTTTCATTTTCATCATTGCTTTTGGATGAATGAATCCTAATATGTTGCTTAAGTCTGTAAGATTAAAATATTATAATATTTATTCCGATAATTAAAAGGATTTACTTACCCCTTGTTGGATGTGAACCTTTTTTGATACTGATTACAGGTAAATGCAGGTAGATGAATGCTCTTGTGGCGATGTAGATTACGACCTCGTTTAAAACGTTTTCCACAATCTTTACAAACATATGGTTTTTCAGTAGCATGTCTCTTCATATGACAATAGAGTGAACTTTTAATAGAATAACTTTTATTGCACTACAAAAACATATACTATTTTACTTATTGTTATATAAAAATAATTAATGTATCTACTTTAGTGCATGAATAGGGTTTTTCTCCGGTGTGTAGGGCCATGTGGTCATTGAGTGAACGCAAATCATTGAAATTTTGATTACACTATAACAATGAAACCTTATTATTTTTTTTTAAATATAATGGTGAATATAATGGTGATACTTACTTCAGTGCATGGATAGGGTTTATCACCAGTATGACGATTCATATGACGATTGAGTGCATGCTTAACAGAAAAACTTTTATTACACTGTAAAAAATAATTATTTTTTTAATTAGTCTTAAATAACAATAATTTAAATATTTACTTCTGTACAAGAATACGGCTTTTCGCCATTATGTCGCCGCATGTGACAGTTGAGTGCATGCCTAACAGCAAAACTTTGATTACACTATAAAACATATTTTATTGTAAGAATTGTAAATAAGTGAAAATAATTTAAATATTTACTTCTGTGCATGAGTAAGGTTTTTCACCAGTATGTCGCCTCACATGAAGATGAAGTGATTGCTTAGCAGTAAAACTTTGATTACACTATAGAAAACATGTACTTATTATATTTAATCTTAAATAAAAATTATTTAGATATTTACTTCTGTGCATGAGTACGGTTTTTCACCAGTATGTAGCCTCATATGAATGTTAAGGGAATGCTTAAAAGCATAACTTTTACTACACTGTAAAAAATATTTATTTATTATATTAAATTTTAAACATTGTTAAACGTTATACTTACTTCAGTGCATAAGAAGGATTTTTCACCTTTATGTCGCTTCAAATGATAATTTAGAGCACGTTTAGTAGAAAAACTTTGATCACACTATAAAAATAAATACGTGTTATGTATAATCTTATATAAAAATTAGCACTTACTTCTGTACACTTAAAGAATTTTTCACCAGTATGTCGAGTCATATGACACTTAAGTGTGCTCTTTGCAGAAAATCTTTGATTGCACTAAAAAAATTATATACTTACTATATATTAATTTTAACAAAAATAAGTTAAAAATTTACTTCGGTACATTCATAAGGTTTCTCATCAGTATGAGAACGACGATGATTTCTTAATCTGCTGTAAAACCGAAACTTCTTCTTACAAAAGTCACAAGCAAAAAATCGCCTTTCTGTCATACTTTTATGAATACTATACCATTTCATACAAAAGTTTAAATATATATTATTTTTATATAACAATTAATTTTATAACTTACTTCGAAATTGATAATTCGTTTTCGTTAAAGGGATTTTCTGTGGTTGTTTCAGTTGCATTATTTTTGTTTAAATTTTGTACTTCACTGCCACTTTCGAACGAGGTTCCATTGTCTGTAATTGTACCACTGAGTGTTTCAGTGAGAGCAGTTTCCGGTTCCATTTTTATGAATTCATCTTCTATCGTATTATTTTCTAATAATACATTTTCTGTACAATCTTCATAAGTTTCAGTGTTTACAAATCCCGGTAGAATAATGCTACGAGTTTGAGTTTTAAAAACAATAGTTCCCGGTTCCAATTTTGTTGTCTCATTTTCTATCGTTATTACAGAACAGTCTAGGTTTTCTAATAACAAACTCTCTGTTGCTTTTTCATTTATAAAGTTTTCTTCAACACCAGCTAGAGTTTCTGAAGCAATATCGTTCAGCTTCTGTATAATACTCTCATTTTTAATTACTTCATTATCATACTCAACATGAGGTTGTGGAATAACGTCTGTTTCCGTTGATATTTGTTCTTTAAGTTTCTCTGGTAGCGTAACATTATTATTAATTGTAATATTTTCAAATGAATTTTCGTTGAAATCATCAATTCTGTAAATCTTTTTTATCGAGACGATGGAACAATTTGGTCCTAATTTTGGAGTCAGTTTTTCTTTGTCGAAGGTCTCAGACTCATCTTTGTCAATCTCAAGTATATGAGAATTTAAAGTTTCAATTGAATCGAGCACACAATCTGTTCGTCCAGTTGCTATATCATTTAATATAACAATAATATGTATTAAATATTTAATTAGAAATTATCTTGTATTATATTATTTATTACATATAACATTAATTTTAATATTAAAAATAATTATATTTTATATATAGTTATACCCTGGCTTTAGGAGTATATATAAAAGTATATACATAAATTGGTTTGATAAAATATGAAAATAGTATTCCTTTTACTTATTGATTTTGTGAATGTAATTTATTCAAAATATACATTCCATGCGTTTAACATTTTCTTCAGAAATTGTTATGAACTAGAAAATTAAACTCTAAGTACCAACCGAATCGAATAAAACCACTCCTTAAAAAATAAAAAATGTATATGTTCTAATAATACCTCACCTGCATGAACTTCCATGTCAATATGCTTATTAAGTTCCTCCTCTGTTGCATACATCACTTCGCATTCTTTGCATCTGAATTTATACTTTTGGGTTTCATTTCCATCATTGCTTTTGGATAAATGAATCCTGATATGTTGCTTAAGTCTGCGAGATTAAAATAATATTTATTCCGATAATTAAAAGGAATTTATAATAATAATCATAATATAATAAAGCTTAAAAAACAGTCAACAGATATAAAATGAATTAATTAATTGATAATAAAATTTCCTCAATTTATTCCAATATTGCTACTTTTAAGTAAGTAAAGTATACCCACATTATTCTAATGATACCAATTTAAATGCTATTAAAGCTTTCATAATTGGACGACGGTTAAAAAATTTAAATCCAGCATTTGCAATAAATCGTCTTAACGACTTATAACAATTATTGCACGTATTCTTAAGTACAACCTATAGCATCTTCTGCTGAACTATCTATTATTAATTAATGTAAAATTAACTATCACTATTTAACTCAAATCGGCTCTACTTAATTTTTTTTCTTAATTTACATTTGAGATTCTAAGTTTTTTATTTATATTAGAATCTACTTATATTCTATAATATTAGTATTTATTTATTTATAAATATACGCAAATAAATAAAATCAAATCCACAAGGTTTTCATATTAACACAACGAAGATTGTGTATTTAAAATTCTGAAAGAAAAAACATTCATTTTATAAATTTGTAATTCAGATTTGATTGATTATTTTTTTAATAAGAAACTTTTTTATTATTCATACATTACTTTTATATGTTTTTATATCTTGAAAAAACTATTGCCAAGTCAGTTTACAACTTATATCCTTATTTACAATTGATATGACTCAGTTTGCTGTTTCCAATTAAACCAAAAGTAAATTTGTATTACAAGTCACAATACAATATGAGTTGAATAACTTTTTATTACTATTTCATTAATAAAACTTTTAATACATATTTTATAACAACAAAAATCCTTTTTGTTGTGCACCTAATATTTGTTATTATTTAAAGGATTAATATGACGTACCTATATAATTAAAAAAACAAATTCAAAATTCGTCCCAGAGTTGCAATTTATGCAACATGACAAGTTCATATTTACACATAAGAAATTTATTTTATGTATTGATCCGATCACAAAAATTATATTAATTTCTTATTTCATTATAATAATCTGCTCCAGTATAATTTTGAGGGTGTCTGAATTTGACGGTAAAATGTTGACAAGTTCAACATTCGAAGTAACTTTTTTCACTAAGCTACATATCAATAAAGCTCAGTTTAAAACAAATCAGATTTCTAAGAAAGGAATTTTTAAAATCATGATGACAATAATTATTTCGAAATCATTGTGGTTGCGATTTATGATTCACAATGTTTTCTAACAGTGACTCTAATCATGGGTTAGTAAACTCTGACGTAAACATATATTCAGTTAGTATTTCTAATTTTTTTAAACAGTATCAATTTTTTTTAAACGTGAAGAGTAGAATAAAATGTTTGCTTTTAATGATGAAAAAATTATTATATGACAAATAATAAAGCTATTATTATGCAAATATTCTTAAGAGTGACTCTGTCACGGTTAATAAACTCTGATGCATGCATTTATTCAATTAGAGTTTCTAATTTTTACATACAGTATTCATTTATTCTACAATTATACAGAATGTTTGATTTTGATGATGAACAAGTTTTAAGTCGTTTTATTTCACTATTAAAAATTATAACGTATTAAAACTAGCCATAATAGTGACACAATTATTAACGAAAAAACTTATCGTGTAATTAAATCTGAAACTGTGATCACAGTGGTTTGTTAATCACTGCAAATTGGATTATATTGCAATCACAATCATAGTTTATGAAATTATAATCACAGTTTGCAAGATAGCAATCAATCAGAGTTTGTGAAATTGTGTCTAATCATCATTTGCATAATTGTGATTAATAACAGTTTGTGAGCTTGTGATCAATCTTAGTTCTGAAATTGTGATCAAGCTTAGCTTTCGTAAACTATGATCGCAATCACTTCAACTATAAACATTTTTTGCTAAACTGTGATAACAATTATAGAGGCAACCCAAAAGTGATTGAATTGCTGTTCAGCTGAAGCAGGGATCACAGTGACTTACTACGATTTGTGATTCACTAAAAAACTTTCATGTTTCGTTTAAAACTTGTTGTAAAGTATAGAATATTAAAAAAAATTGCAAAAAAGAAAACTTTTTAGACAAGAACTTGGGAAAAAAACAGAAATTTAATCAACAGAAAAGCAAATAAATGATTATACTATGGAAATCTTTCGAATGATAATTTCCACAATATAATTTTGGTGAAATTTTATTCTGTATTCAGATTTTGTTGATTATGAAGACAACACCAGAAAATACTCTGTAAAAAGTTAGAAATCTCCAAAATCTATATAAAGGATTAACTCTATCTACTATTGTTAGGGACTTCCTTCTTCTTCTTTTCACAACATGTGAGATATACATTACATAGTTATTAATATACATATATATGTGGAATATATATTATTAACTACTTTAGATTAGTGTTATTTAAGTTAAGAGAGAATGTTCGTTTATTTCTTTTTGCATTGTAATAACTTTGAATGTATATTGATTATATTTATTTTCCAAACAAAAATGTTTATCTTATCGATAATAATTCTAATATTAACTTGTTGAACGTTTATTTAATTAATTTATTCCATAAATTATTTATTGCATCTTATTTCTTTTATTAATCAAAATTTTAAATAATTGTAAAAAATAACAATAGTCATCATTAAACTAACTTACATAAATCTTAAGCGTATCTTAACCAATATATAAAACTTAGAACACTAATTCGAGTCTACACTTGTAGATAAATGTTAGTTACCATACTTCAGATCGATCGAATAAATTAATTTCTTTCACTTCAACATCCAGAAATTTTCGTACATTTTTTCTCATTTTTAATCATTTTGGAATACTCCATGTTTCACAATGACAAGTTGTACTTCATGGTCTCCGAAAAATTTATCTATCCGTAATGATAATAACTATAAATTCTTAAGACATAACAGTTTCTGACTCCACTTTTATACTCTCATTTTCTACAGTTATATCAGTGTAAATTTCATTTTCCAATAAAAATTTCTCTGTGCTAGTTTCAGCCACTTCTTCTTTTATAAATTGTGGTAAAATAACAAAACCTTCGATCGATGTTTGTTCTGCATATTTTTCAGTAGTTGCAATATTTCCCGCAACTGGAGTTTTGTTGCAACTATCATTTTCATATTTATATGTAGGTAAAGAATCGGAACTATTTATTTCTAATTTTATTGCACGTTTAATATTTGTGAAAGACTCGGGATGGCCTTTATGTACTTGAAATATGTGAGAGTTTAAAGTTTGAATTGAATCAAATTCTTTGTCACAAATCACACAATTTGTTTGTCTTTCTTCCATATCTGTAAATTATAAAAGTTTTGTTTTAATAAAAGTTGTATTGTATATATAATTCATTGTATTTTATACTGGATTTACACGAGAGTTTTGTTTGTAATTTTACCTGTCAAAAACTTTCATTTTGCAATAAAAGCAACAACAATTGACAGCTAAAATTACAATCAGAACACCAGTGTGAATTCACTACTAGATAATTCTCTAACAAATAAAGAGTAAGGCTGCAATCACGGTTGCCACTTGAAAATTTTTTTCTGTACCAAAATTGGTTTAAAAAGATACCATTTCTGTAAAAAAAGGTCCAAAATTTTTTTGGACCTTTTTGTTTTCTCGTTCTGTGTTTTTCATAGTGTTATAAATGAACAAAATATAAAATAGTGCAAAGTTGCATTTATAAAAAAATTAATTGGAAATATCCACAAAAAAGTTGGGTCGTCAAAAATGTACCATTCTTTTAAACATGAGTACCAAACGAAAAAAATAAAAAAAAAGTACCAATTTTGGTACTAAAGTACCATAAGTGGCAACCGTGGCTGCAATTGCATTGCATGCGAATTTTGTCTTGCGTGTTTGTACATGTTTTCTCATGCGAACACACTGCATGTTGCCTCATGCTAACACATTGCATGTTGCGGTTACATTGCTTTCAGTTTTGCTTGTTTTACAAACAACATGGATAGTGAAGATGAAATATATTTAGCGGAAAATTCATATTATGAGTTTGAGTGCATGATTTTTTTTCTTCAAGGTATAAAAATGGAGAGTTTGTTTATTCCTCAAACAAAGAAATTAGTAAATCGCAATCCATTTCCAAAAAGTAGTGAATGTTTTAAATTTAAAATTACATGAAAACAACACAAGCCTCTCAATTTCATTATTTACACCTTCAATTTTGCAGGAATGCATGAAATGCATTTCAAACAAAATATTTTGTTTAATCAAAAGTTTCCACGAGAGCGAACTGGGCCCTGTTGCACCAACACTTTTCACTTTGCAAAACTTATGAGTGACTTTTTTTTGCAAAGTAAAAGTGAAAAGCGTTGCACCAAAGACTTAACATAATTTACTTTGCACTCTGCAAATAAAAATTTCTCTGCAAAGTCTTTGCATAAAATGCAAAGCAAAGCGTTGCACCAAAAAATTAGATCTCTTTCATTTTGTATTGGTTTTTGAAAGCATTTCGTTTCTGTATGTATACTTGTTACTTAGAATTCATGAACTAACATCACACTCTTTTCGCTCTCTCTCCGTTTTCAAGTTAATATTCATGTTACGTTCATAATATTGTAAATTTGGCCAAAGAAATATTTAGTGAATGTTTTATTTTGTTGAGTGCAAGTGATTCGGTGGTAACTTATAATATAATAATGAGTAAACAATTAAAATTAAATAAAAAACTTGCGGTGTTAGAATTAATAAAGGAGAAGAAGGTAAGGACAAACTTATTTACTTGAGTATAATTCATTGCAATAATATAAATTTAAATATTTTGTACCGGTTTTATTTGGCCTTGTTTTGGTTGTTGCGTCTAAAATATTTGTATAGTTGTGTATAAATTTAAAAAACAAAAAGTCAAGTCAAGTGTTATACATACTTGCATTATTACAAAATATTTCAATTTAAAAAAATAAATTTAGTTTCGTTTTTATTATAAATGATATTAATTTTTGCTTATTTCTTTTAAAAGGATTTATTATTTGCTTCGTTTAAAGGCAACAAGTGCTCTCGGCAAGAGAAAATTGATGCTTGGACGGAAGTGTTGCGTAAAGCACAATCCCTCGGGTTAGCTGGAACTAACCGCAAGTGGAGTTATGCCCGCGATTCGTTGTTTGGGATGTGGAAGTCTCGCACATTGGTAAATGATTAAATTTTTTATGTTTTCAAATAAATATTTTAATAGTTAATTCTTAGACTAAGCGCGATAACATGAAAAAAACTAGTGCTGCTGGAGGTCGAGAAATGCTACTTGACTCTTCCGACTACTACATCCTTGATATTATTGGCCAAGATAATCTGTCAATAGTCGGAATAGCAGCAGCAGAAAGTGGTGGTGTGCAGATGGACGAAGAATTGTCGGTGTTGGAGCAGCAACAATCTCCTAATCAAAACACTTTAAAAAAACGCAAGCGAACGTCGTCGGAGCATTACGAGGAAGTAAAGGAAGCATATTTAAAATTAGAAATGAAATATAAAAAAGCAAAATATATTAATTTAAAAAAAACAATTTTATTCAATAAAAGTCAACATATAAGAAATTTATGGAATTAATTTTTATATTTTAACTTAATTTTATTTTTTCTAAATTTTTTAAATTTTAGTAGTAGTATATATATGTATATAATGTATAAATATAAATATTACTGTAAATATAAGTACAAAGCGTAAAAAGTATAAAATCTAACTTATTTTTATTTTAAGTTTATTAATAGTTTATAGTTTAATAACTTATATTTAATTAAATCGTATGTTTAATTTAAAAATTGTTTTTAAATAAGATAAATAAATATTTAATTAATGTATATAAATTAATAAAATAAAATTTTAAACTTATAAAACTTCATGGATCTTATTATGGAAATTTATGCTAGTCAAATAAAGCTAATAATGATTGAAGTCTATTAGCCGCTCCCGGTGTAACTTCAAAGACCTCCTCCACTTGTTCATTTTCAGCTTCCTCTGCATCCTCTGCATTTATTGAAACAATGTCACCGAAGTCAGCCATAGTTGTGCTGCTTATTGCCTTTATGGCCACATTGTGTAGTATGCAGCAAGTTAAAATAACTTTTGCAGCAATTTCAGGTTGTAGGCGTAAGTGATTGAGGCAAGGAAATTTCTCTTTAAGTATTCCTGCATAAAAAACTTGCTACTTTTCATTTCTATTGTTTTTAAATTAATATTTACCAAAGCTGTTTTCAACAATTCTTCTTGTAGTTTTATGTGATCTGTTAAATCTCTGCTCTCGTGGAATAGTTGGATTATTTCGCAAAGGAGGAATTAGCCAATCCTTCAATGGGTAAGCACTATCACCAAGTAGTACTGCGCCAGGAAATGGACGAAAACCAGACTCGAAATTATTAAACAGCTGTGAATTTCTCAACACTCTGGAGTCATGCACACTTCCAGGCCAAGAACAATTTATGGCGTAATAGCTACGGTCAGGACCACACACCATCATTGCATTTAGGGCATGTTTTCCATGTCTATTTACAAACTGCGCCACATTTTTCATTGGGGCATCAATGTTTATCATTGTACCATCAATACAACCCGCAACCTGAGGAAAACCACCAATTTCAAAGAAATGCTGCGCAATTTCATAAGTATTAGGCGGCCAGCATATAGTTGCATTAAGCATTTTGTTGATAACAGCGTCTAATACTCTGTGAATTGTGCGGCATACAGTTGACTTATGGATTCCATGCATAACCGCAATTCCATGGTATTGACAGCCGTTACCCAGCCAATGTAAAGTTGTTAATAGCTGTTGATCCGGACTTAAACAATGATTTCTTTTACTGTTGTATTGTAACTCATTTCCAATTTTAATTAAAATAAATTCAATTTGATGGTTTTTCAATCTGAAATGTTCCATGTTGTGCAAGAACAAATTGTAATTAGTTCTTGGATTTACTACTCGAAGAATATCTGTTTGAGTATCATCTTCTCCAAACAAAATTTCATGCCGAATCATTTTAACTAAGAAAGAAACCACATGAAATATTTATATTTAAATATAATATAAACTTTATTTACCTTTATTTAATTCAAAAATAACTTTAAATAGCTTAAGCGCCTTTTTTCACAATAATTTTTAGTAACTAAAGTGTCTTTTTTCACAATAACTATACCATTAACAATCAAGTACACGGTTTCAATAATTTGAAATTACTGATTTTATTTAGAAAATTTCTCTTAATTTATACAAAATTACCTTAAAACTAACTTAACTAATTTTACTATCAACGTTAAAATAATATGTTGTCTGTTATCACTAATTTTAGTGGACTGTATTATTATTAATCACATTTCAAAAAAGGTTCAAAGAACGACGGAAGTACAGGGCCCTGTTCCAACAACACTTTTCACTTTTCACTTTGCAAAATTTATGAGTGACTTTTTTTTGCAAAGTAAAAGTGAAAAGCGTTGCAGCAAAGACTTAACATAATTTACTTTGCACTTTGCAAATAAAAATTTCACTGCAAAGTCTTTGCATAAAATGCAAAGCAAAGCGTTGCACCAAAAAATTAGATCACTTTCATTTTGTATTGGTTTTTGAAAGTATTTCGATTCTGTATGTATACTTGTTTTTTGTTTGTTTGATATTTTGATGCTATGAGAGTACATGATTTATGCATAGTATGTACTTATGAGTTTAATTTTTGTTTAAAATAAAAGTTTTTAAAATAATATTTTATTTTAATAATTTATATTATTACAATTTGTAATATTGAATAAAGTATTAGCGTTGCTGTAAAGCTAGCTTTCTTTGTATAGTGACAAAGAAGCTTTATTAAAATTTAGAGGGGTTTTTGAATAGCAAAGAAAGAAATAAAGGACAAACACAAAAATTTTATTTTAATTTTATTGAAGTTTGGCTGACCATACAACGCTGTTTCGAGTATTGCCAAGTACTCTTCATCAGTGGTCTTTGGAATAATCGAATATTTATTTAATTATTTTATAGTCCGTATATAATTTTGTTTGGACTGCAAGTGCCAGGCTTAGAACTCGTGCCTGTCAAATTAGAAGCGATGACTAATCGTGTTTATCCACAAGAAGCCAAGGCTGCACAAACTTTCAATGCTCAAGTTCCAGATTTTATTGTCACTTATTTTTATTTAATTAGTGACCCCAACCAAAGCACTTGCCGTGCTTTTTAAATTAGAACGAGTTTATAAACTACAGCTTTATTTTTGGAAACACAAGTTCAACGAATTGAAAGTTAACTTTTGGGTTCGCCTATTCTTTATTTTTTTTTTTTTCGAAAGCTACTGTTTTTTGTAGAGACATTTTGTAATGCATATTGTTTTACTTTCTATATGTAAAGCGACCATTCTGGTGCTTTTAACATGTTTTCTCATGCGAACACATTGCATGTTGCGATTACATTGCTTTCAGTTTTGCTTGTTTTACAAACAACATGGATAGTGAAGATAAAATATATTTAGCGGAAAATTCACTATCATATTATTTATTAATTTTAAATGACAAATTATGAGTTTGAGTGCATGATTTTTTTTCTTCAAGGTATAAAAATGGAGAGTTTGTTTATTCCTCAAACAAAGAAATTAGTAAATCGCAATCCATTTCCGAAAAGTAGTGAATGTTTTAAACTTAAAATTACATGAAAACAACACACGTCTCTCAATTTCATTATTTACACCTTCAATTTTGCAGGAATGCATGAGTTTCAAACAAAATATTTTGTTTAATCAAAAGTTTCCACGAGAGCGAACTGTTCTTAGCGACTCACATATGATTACATACATTTGATTTGTTCGTACGACAACGCAAGATAAAATTCGCATGCAATGTAACAGCTTCAGATATGAGCAAATTATTTTATGCATGAGAGCTTTTGTGAAGTTAGGCACACTTATTAGTTCACTTTAAATTGTAATGATTTCAATACATGTACACTGTTTTTTTTTTCTAGTAAGCTAAATACGATTTATAAATGAAATTCAAGCATCCTTCACAGGTTTTCTTCTAAAACAAATAACCCAAACTACTAATAACTAGAAAAATAAACTAAGAATATAACAGAAAAAAATCTACATTTTTGAATTAATTACCACTTTTTTTATACATTCACTAAACTATTAAACTAAATATATGAATATATAATACATGTCAAAATCTTACCTAAATGATTTCGTGTATTAGATGCGTAGGTATCATTGTATTCTGTGGATTTTAATTTCTTCTTCTTGATTTCATTTTCACGCTTGCGGATTGATAAATGAATTTTTGTATGCTGCTCTAGTCTGTAATATCAATCATTAGAAAATTAATATGCATATCTGATATAAATAAAACTTATATTATTTACTGTTTAATGGTTTTGAATTTTTGTTCACACTGATCACAAGCAAATGGACGTATATGAGTTTTGCTATGGGAACGTAACTCGGTGCCTCGTATAAAACGTTTTCCGCAATCGTTACAAACGTACGGTTTTTCACCAGTATGTCTCTTCATATGAAGACTGAGTGCTTCCTTTACAGCAAAGTTTTTATTGCACTATAAAAAATTACTGCTATTATTGAATTTTAATTAATTATAAATATATTTACTTCAGTGCAGGAGTAGGGTTTTTCACCAGTATGTCGCTGCCTATGAAGATTAAGTGCGCTCTTCATAGAGAAACTTTGATTACACTATTAAAAGATATAATTAGTATAGAATTTTAAATAAAAAAATCCAACATACTTCAGTACAAGTATAGGGCTTTTCACCAGTATGCCGCCTCATATGCTGATTGAGTTCTCTCTTAATAGCAAAACTTTTATTGCACTACAAATAATATATACTTATTATATTTAATTTAACATAAATATAAGTGTAAAATTTACTTCACTGCACGTATAGGGCTTAACTCCCTTATGTCGCCTTATATGAATATCGAGTCCTTGCTTACGAGTAAAACATTGGTTACACTATTAAAATTATGTGCTCATTATATTTGGCATTAAATAAAAAATATTGAAATATTTACTTCTGTACAAGCGAAAGGTTTTTCACCTGTATGTTGTCTCATATGACGAGTGAGAGACTCCTTAACAAAAAAACTTTGATTACACTATAAAAGATATTATAATACATATTGTAATACATAATACTAAATGAAAATAATTATAGTAATTACTTCAGTGCATGCGAAAGGTTTTTCACCAGTGTGTCGTTTCATATGATGATAGAATGACTGCTTAGCAGTAAAACTTTGGTTACACTAAAAAAATTATATTTATAATAATATTTTATGTTATATGAAATTATTTAAAATATTTACTTTAGTACAAGTGTATGGTTTTTCACCAGTGTGCTGTCTCATATGAATATCGAGTTCCACTTTACGAATAAAACATTTATCACACTATAATATATATAAACGTTTATACAAAATTTTCAATATAAATAATTGAAATATATACTTCACTGCATTTGTAGGGTTTTTCACCAGTATGTCTCTTCATATGGCGATGAAGTGTCTCCTTAATAGTAAAACTTTGATTACACTAAAATTATAATCACTTTTTTATTTGATATTAAAGAAAAATTATTGCAATTACTTCAGTGCATGAATAGGGTTTTTCACCAGTATGTCGCCTCATATGAAGATTGAGTGAGCTTTTAATAGAGAAACTTTGATCACACTAAGAAAAATATATACTTTATATATTTATTTTTTTTAAATTTAACTGCAATATTTACTTCCGTGCATGTAAACGGTTTTTCACCAGTATGTCGCTTCATGTGACGCTTGAGTGAGTTTTTAATAGCGAAACTTTGATCACACTAGGATAAAGAAATACTTATATCTTTTTAAAATAAAAATAATTGCAATGTTTACTTCAGTGCACGTGTAGGGTTTTTCACCAGTATGACGCACCATATGAAGATTGAGAGAGCTCTTTATAGGAAAGCTTTGATCGCACTATAAAATAAATATACATATAGTTAAATTTATTTTTAAATAACAAATAATTTTAATATTTACTTCGGTGCAAGTGTAAGGTTTTTCACCAGTGTGAAAACGGCGATGAACTTTTAATGGACCCAATGAAGGAAATTTCTTTCCACAAATATCACAATCAAAACGTTGTTTTTCTTTAGCTGTACGGTTATGCTTTCTTTAGAAGTATGAAAATAAAGAATAAAGAAGAAAAATATTTACCTTATTATTTATGTTATAAAATAAATATATGAACTTACTTTAGAATTGATAATTCGTTGTTTAATAATAATTGCTCTGTATATGTTTCAGGTACTTCAACTTTCACAAATTCATCTAAAGTAACGCAGTCTTTGATTGAAGCTTCATCTTCTATAAATGCATCGCATGAAGTTTTAAGAGCAGTAGTTTGCAACTCTGTTGTTATACTTTCATTTTCTGTCTTCATAACAGTGTGGTCTTCGTTTTCAGATAAAATTTGTTCTGTATTTGTAGTGTCTGGTTGCATTTTAATAGTCTCATTTTCTATCGTTATAATAGTGTACATTTCGTTTTCTAATAATAAGTGCTCTGTGCTTGTTTCAGGTACTTCATCTTTTATAACTTCTTGCACAGCAACAACATTTTCGAACAAACCTTCGTCACCTCCAATCTTTCCAATTAGACTATCAGGTGTAGTCTTTGTTTCCATCTTTGTACACTCATTTTCTAACGTCGAAACAGTGTACATTTCATTTTCTAATAATAGTTGTTCAGAATTTGTGTCCATTATTTCCTTTTTTATAAATTGTTGTGCAATAACACCATCTTCGATGGATGTCAGATCATTAGTAGCTTCTGTTTCCATCTTTATTTTTTTATTTTGTAATATAGTGTGCTTCTCATTATGTTCCTCATCTGCTATATATCTATTTTCAATTACATCTGTTTCCAACGGCGAATGATCTTCATATTTTACTGACAGTAAACTATTGTCGTCATCTGAAGTAATATTTTTAATTGAATTTTCTCTGGAGTCATCAATGCTGTAAATATTTGTTGGTGATAAATCGGAAGTATTTAATTCTAATTTTGGAGCAGTGTTATCATTGTGATAAGTTTCCGGATAATCCTTATGCATTTCAAGTATGTGAGAACTCAAAGCATTAACTGAATCGAATTCTTTATTACACGTCACACAGCCTGTTTGCTTTTTCGTCATATCGTTGAGTCTGCTACTGGTATATTTAACTGGAATATAAAATACCATCCAGTATATGTTAAACATTAATACTTTATTTTATAATAGTTTAAAATCATTCTATATAAATAATTATATAGTTTCATAATGATTAGTAATAACCAAAATTTAAAAAAAATATAAAATATCAATCAGTTTTTAAAGAAAACAGTTTCCCATTTTATTTATTGATTTTGTGGCCACAATTTATTTAATATTCAATTTAAGAATCGAATTTGAATAAATAGAAAAATCTATTATTTTGGCGATTTAGGTTTTATTCCAAAAAGAAAAACTTCACAAATTGTTTGAAATGTTTTTCTAAAATTCGTATCGCAAACATGTTATTCCAGTCATAGAAAATCTTACAAAATCATACTATAGAAATCATTTAAATAAAATCAAACATTTAATACATATTTAAGGTACTAGCTGACCCGGCGAACTTCGTGCCGCATTTGTTCAATGGCGGTTTTAAATAATTTAATTAATTCATTATGTTGTTCAAACAAATTTTGTAATTCAGCGACAATCTCTCGTTTAGTACTCATATTCAGTTGACACCGTCTGTTGATTTGTTCATCAGTATTTCCCATAAAATATATCTGAAGATATTTGTGACCGGTATTTGGCAAGGGTAGTAGTGATCCAGCATGGTGATAAATTTGCCCTTGTACTTTAAATGTTGGCATATAATTTGCGCTAACGATATTCGTTGCTCCAAATGATATCATTTGGAAGCATAAATTGTACTTGCGTATATTTTTCAAAAAATTTTTTGATTGACTTATTTCACCTGATACTGAAGTTAATAATGGTTCAGGTGGTGAACACAAATCTGGTAACTTTACTTTTCCACCTGGATAGCACATCCATATTTCCAATAATTACACTTGGACGAAGACTGTACTTGTAAAGGGGATTATAATTGAAACCACATAAAGTATTTATGAATCGAAACAAAGTAAAGGATCAAATCTGACAGCCAATTTGTAGACCCAGAAATCTAGATAATAAGACAATTTATGTCCAGGTCAAAACTGATTGAATATTTCTTTAATATACTTGGAGGCTTTGTCCTTGAGAGCTTTGCACACCAACCTCTGTTACATTCATACGTACTGGTTCATATTCAAAAATATGTGTGTACTTTTAACATTCTCTAGAAGAAACATTATATTTTGTTCAAGTTTTGCAGTTCTTAAAGAATTTTGATTTGGCTTCTAGAGAATGTTAAAAGCACATATATTGAAGCGTTAAATATGAAAGAGTACGTATGAATGTAGAGGGAATTTACTAGCAAAAGTCGTAGGGAGCAGCGCCCCTTAGTAAAATTTTGAAAAATGTTGAGATTAATGAGAAAGTTTTAAAAAATTTTTAATAAAGCAAAAAAATAAAAATTGCTACAATGCTTTTTCAAATACAATATTGTTTATTACCCAACGTTGAACATTGGCGTTTAATCTTATTTTTTTGATACCATTCACGTTGTCGTTGACGTTTTTTTAGAATTTGCTCCTCTGATAAATGTTCTACACGTTTTCGTTTTCTATTCTTTTCAATTGTTTCTAAACTTAAATTTTCGATACGTTTAGAAGCATTTATACGATCTTTATGCTTTGTATCTGATTTAAGTCTTTGTAAACGACGACGTTCTTTTCTTTCAGCATCAGTTATATTAAGACGTAAACGACCCATTATTTCTTATTTCAATCTTTTAATAATAAAAATAAATGTACGAAGGCACGGAGAATAAATGTACGAAGGCACGGAAAATAAATTTACGAAGGCACGAAAAAAAAAATGGAATTTCACAGGGTCAATAATGCTAAGAAATCATTTATCTATATACATACATTTATGTATATGTACATATGTTTGTATATAAAAACATATAGTATTTTTGCATCAAAACATGTTAAAGATCAAATCTGACAGCCAATTTTGTAAATCCATAAATATAGATAACAAGAGATTGATACAAAATCTATGTGTGTTAAGTCAAAACTTATTGCATATTTTTTTAATATAAACTCTTTAATTACCCGTACAATATTTTGCTCGTATACGTTTATATCAAAATATCAATTAATATTTTTAAGCTGATTTCCAATGTTGAGTTGTATACAAATGGTACGAACTGACACAAGTTTATAGTATCACAAATTGTAAACAAATTAATTATTTGGACAAAATGAAAAATCTCTTTCATTAACAGAATTAATGTATATCCACTTTTTGTGCCACCAAAAACAAATTCTAAAATATTTCATATAGACTATACAACATTTGTTTTTTTGTTGTCAAAAAAAAAATAAAATTAAAAAGATTGATAATTGTTCCCCCAGAGTTGCAATTTATGTATTGTGACAGGTTCATATTTACACGGAAGATATTTATTTCATATATTGACACACGGTACTAACAGCAGTTATAAAAATGTTTGTGTTCGTTTTTTGAAAACGTTTTGAGATTTTTTTTGTGAATAATAAGACATAAAATTGTATAAATATCGAATATTTTTAGAATAAAATTCTATTTTAATTTTACACTTAACTAGAGTACTTGTTTGTTCTAAAAGTTTTAATTACCTATCAACAGGCGCAGTTTTTCGTATCATTAAAAAATCATGAACTATGCTTAGTTTCTTTAAGAGCTACTAATTGAAAATATGCATTCCCTGATTCCTGTAAGACACATTATAATTTTTTGTTGAATTTCTTTCCATCAAGTTTGTAATTTTTTGTCCTTCCTTTCTATGTTTCTCAAGTTGTTGGAAATATTGTTTTTTGTCGCTTATCCTTTTTTTTATTACAATTTTACACAATTTATATTAAGTTAAATGAAATAATATTATTGCAGCAAAAATTCGTTTATTTATATAAATTTTCATTATTTACGTGTAACTAAGAAACCTCTCTAATGGTACCACCTTGATTAGAGAAAAACTTCATTTAATAGATTATTAGGGTCACGGATTGCAATTCTCTAACAGGCACAATTTTAAAACAACATTGCCACAAATAGATGGGCATAACAATCTATACCACGCATTGTTAAGTTCGTTCTTTTATCCAAATCATTTACTTGGTTGTTGTTATTAATTTGGTATAAGTTAAATATTTTTGTGGAATATTTTACGTAAAGATAGGAAGCCAATCATCGTAATTTAATTAGCCAATCTTCATTACAGTTGTTTCTGACAAATTGTTACTTTTGTATAACATTTTCTCTAAGGTTTCATTATTACTGCTGCTCAATTTAGCGTTTCAGTTATATAATGTCAATAAACAGAATGAGATTCATTTTATAAAATGTATAAATTTTTTTCTCTAGTACTAAGTATCACTTCACAAATTAACTTCCATTTTACTGATTGCTTTATGTGATTTATTTGCTTCGTGCGATATTTCTACATTTTGGTTACGATGTCACGATAAAGACTTTGCATTATAGAAATGATTTATTCCAAAATTTAATATTAATTTACATATTTCTATATATCAAATAATTAAAATAGGTACAATTGCTAACATATTTATAACTTTAAGGTTTCAAATCTTTTCTCATAGTGATCATCATCAAAAGGACGCATATCTTCCGCAATCGTTGCAAACAAGTACCTTTTTGTTGTTGTGGAAACCCGCTTGCATTCCTTTCTGGGTGTTAAACGGCACTTGGTTTTCGAGATTGACGAGTGGCTCCGAGTGACTTGAGTATGTACCCCAGCCGTTCTTGGAATCGGTAGTTTTTTATCTCTTCAGATAGAGATTAAATGTCGGCTGAACAGCACAGCACAGTTATTACACTACAAAAATTATATATTTATTATATACAAATGAAAATAAATAAAATATTTACTTTAGTAGAGGTTTTTCATATATGTCACCACAGATGAGCACTGACCATTTGCTTGTGAACAAAATACTGATTACACACAACTAAACATTATTATTATTATATTATAATAATATTGTTGTAACCCGCACTAATTTGCTTATGTAATACCTTTTAGGTGTGGCACATGGTCGTTGAACTCGACGAGTAATTCCAGGGCGTAGATCCGACCGTTCTTGGAATCATAATATAATATTAATTTCCTTTACTAGCAAACGCATTGTCGAATGTTAGCTAAGCTCATTTATCACCTCTCATTCTGATTTCAGTTTGCATCACCGTTTGAGGTACGTTATGTACACTGAAATCTAAAAAATTGTTCTTTGTTATTATTCTTGTATATATAGAAATACGTTTTTAATGTAATTTTAATTTTATTATTACAATTATTTAATAAGAATTTAATTTAAGTAAAATATTTGCAGTTCAAAAAAATTACATTTGATCAAATCATTACAATAATTAATTAATTATGTAATAAAAATGTGAAATATTTATTTATAATATTTTATTATATCAAAACAAATAATACTGTATAATATTTTAGTATTAAAAAACTATAAATTAATTTAAGATATTAATCGAAAAATTAATTTTTAAACAAGACATAATCCCTTTTTTAAAGAATATTAATTACCACAGTGTCATATGACACTTAAGTGTGCTTATTATTATAAAAAAATGTTGATTACACTATAAAAAATATACAATTATTGTACTTAATATTAAATAAAAATAATATTTACTTTATTGCATAAGAGGTTTTTAACAATAAGGCATTGCATATGTGATTGGGTGACTCCTTGGTAATAATATATTTATTCCGCTATAAAAATATATGTCAATTACAATATTTAATATGAAATAAAAATATTTGAAATATTTACTTTCAGAGCATGTATATGATTTTTCACAAGTATTGCGCATTGTATGATAATGGAGTGCCTGCTTAGCAGTAAAAGTTTTATTACACTGTAAAGAAGCATAGATTAATATACATATACATAATAATAATAATAATAATAACAATAATAATAATAAAATAATATAATAATAATAATAATAATAATAATAATAATAATAAAAGTAATTCATATATTTACATCTGTGCATGAGTAAGGTTTTTCACCAGTATGCAGCCTCATATGACTTTTGAGTGATTCCTTAATAGAAAAACATCGATTACACTATCAATATACATAAATATTATATTCAATTTGATATGAAAATTATTATAATATATACTTCAGTGCACGTGTAGGGTTTTTCACCAGTATGTCGCTTCATATGACGAGTAAGTGCTTGCTTAACCGCAAAATTTTTATTACACTATAAAGATAAATTATTTTTATATTAAGTTTTAAATAATAAAAAATGAATTATATACTTCCGTGCATGAAAAGGGTTTTTCACCAGTATGTCGCCTCATGTGAATATCGAGTTCTTGTTTACGAGTAAAGGTTTTATTACACTATTAAAATTATGCAATTGTTATATTTGATCTTAAATCGATATATTAAAATTATATACTTCAGAACATATGTGTGGTTTTTCACCAGTATGTTTCTTCATATGACGAATAAGTGCATGCTTAACAGCAAAACATTTATCACACTATAAAATATTGATATATATATTATATTATTTTAATTTTATAAGAAAATAATTGCAATGTTTACTTCAGTGCATATGTAGGGTTTCTCACCAGTATGACGCCTCATATGCTGATTGAGTTCTCTCTTAATAGCAAAACTTTTATCACACTATAAATAATATATACTTATTGTATTTAATTTCAAGTGAATATAAGTGCAAAATTTACTTCACTGCAATTGTAGGGCTTAACCCCATTATGTCGCCTTATATGAATGTCGAGTCCTTGCTTACGAGTGAAACATTGGTTACACTATTAAAATTGTGTGCTTATTATATTTGAATTAAATAAAAAATATTGAAATACTTACGTCTGTACAAGTGAAACTTTTTTCTCCAGTATGTTGTCTCATATGATGATCAAGAGATTCCTTGATTGTAAAACTTTGATCACACTATAAAAATTTTTAGTTGTAAAATATATTTTTTAATGATTATATTTATAGTATTTACTTTAGTGCATGTAAAAACGTTTTCATCAGTTTTAGGAGCAGTAGCTTGTGCTTTTCTGCCTATACTTCCATTATTCTTTTTAATAACAGTGTTCTCTTTGTTTTTTGTTAAAAATTGTTTGGAATTTATTTTTGTTTTTGGTATTCCATCTTCAAACGAATTTCGATCATCAATAATCGTACTACATGGACTTTCAGAACGAGTAGTGTCTGGTTGCATTTTAATAGTCTCATTTTCTATCGTTATAACAGTGTACATTTCGTTTTCTAATAAGAAGTGCTCTGTGCTTGTTTCAGGTCCTTCATCTTTTATAAATTCTTGCGCAGCAACAACATTTTCGAACAAATCTTTATCGCCTCCAACCTTTTCAAATAGATTCTCTGGTGTAGTCTTTGTTTCCATCTTTGTACACTCATTTTCTAATGTCGTAACAGTGTACATTTCATTTTCTAATAATAGTTGTTCAGTATTTGTATCCATTATTTCCTTTTTTATAAATTGTTGTGTGCTAACACCATCTTCGATGGATGTCAGATCATTAGTAGCTTCTGTTTCCACCTTTATTTTTTTATTTTTTAATATAGTGTGCTTCTCATTATGTCCTTCATCTGCTATATATCTATTTTCAATTACATCTGTTTCCAACGGCGAATGATCTTCATATTTTACTGACAGTAAACTATTGTCGTCATCTGAAGTAATATTTTTAATTGAATTTTCTCTGGAGTCATCAATACTGTAAATATTTGTTGGTGATAAATCGGAAGTATTTAATTCTAATTTTGGAGCAGTGTTAGCATTGTGATAAGTTTCCGAATGATCCTTATGCATTTCAAGTATGTGAGAACTTAAAGCATTAACTGAATCGAATTCTTTATTACACGTCGCACAGACTGTTTGCTTTTTCATCATATCGTTGAGTCTGCTACTGGTATATTTAACTGAAATATAAAGAACCATTCAGTATATGTTAATTATTAATACTTTATTTTATAATAGTTTAAAATCATTCTATATAAATAATTATATAGTTTCATAATGATTAGTGATAACCAAAATTCAAAAAAAATTAAAGCATTAATGGACAACGACATCAAGGGATCAATGAACATTAACTTGAAAACCGGCCTCCGATAGGGCCTATTTGCACTATCATAAACGTAAGATTAATTTGATGACAACATGAACTAAGACTTCAGTTTACACTATCATGAACTGTCATGAAGCGTTCGAAAGGCCGAAAGAGCGGGGATAAATTCTTTCTAAAAGAAGAAAATATTGGTGATAATAGGATTACGCCATACGTTGTGGTTGCGGATAATACATTTTCTCTGATGAAACATCTTATAACACCACATTCTAGAAAATTAACGAACCCTAAATTTGTTAATTATAATGTACGACTAAGTAGAGCTAGGTTATGTGTGGAAGGAGCTTTTGGAATATTATCGAACAGGTTTCAAATTCTGCAAACCACTTTGAAATTAAATAGTGAAAAATGTACTACAATTGTGTTTTGTTGTTGCGTCTTACACAATTTTCTCATAGAAAATAGTCCATGGTACATGGAGTATTTAACAACTAGGTTAGATGGCTCAATGGAAATGGAATTACTGGAAAACAATGAAAATGCATTTGAAAATATCACAAGATTGGACAATTTGCGAAAGGTATTTGTCGAATATAATTTTTAAAATAGGAAATATATACAATCCTTTACCATCTTAAATCATTTTTTTGAATTTAAATATATGCAAGTGTTTTTATTATTTTGAAATCAAATATTTACAGATATGTACATCTAACTTCTACATTTAAGCAATTTTTCCTTACGCTTATACCGTTGAAGGATAGCTATGATATCATCCTGCGCTTCATCAAATGTTTCATCCAGTTTATCTAATTCAGTCTGCATATATTTACAGAAAGATGCTGACTTTGAGGCCGCTGTTTTCTCCACACTTGTTTTTAAGTCATGCACAAGCTGACATGATTGCGCGGCTTGGTTCAAAAATGTGTCCAATTTATTTTTCTTCTTCTTTGGCTTTTGTATTTCAGCTAAATTGGACAACTGGCCTGCTGAAATGGACGGTTGGATTATTTCTATGTTCTCATTACCGATGTTCACCTACAAATTGATAAAACAATTAACAATTCACTAAAGCAAATACTTTAGTATTTATATTACGTTTATATTACTTCTACACACGGATTCATCACTTGAATGAGACAGAAAGCTTAGCTGTTTAAAACACCATAATTTGGGTGTATATAAAGCTGCTGTACTCATACCACTTTTTTTTAAAATGTTTCGCTGCTCTACACCATATTGATCTTTTAATGTTTTAATTTTTTTTTTAATCACTTCGCATGTCGCGTCAGGTTTAATCCATTTTATTTGACTGACTATTTCGTTCAGCGCAGCCTCTTTTTTAGAAGGTTTTATATAGTCTTCATGTTTTATATTGTACAAAAGTGGATAATTTCGGTAAATTGAAATTAGTTCCTCTGTTTCCAGTTTGCTCCACTTGTCTTTCGCCATGAAAACCTAAATTATTATTTATAGGTTATGTTATATTCAAAACCTTTTTTCTAAAAATAAATTACATATAAAATTATACACATATTTCGTTAATTTATTTCGTATATATATATAATTAAACAGAATGAATAAAATCACAAAATAAAACAAAAAATCACGCACTTTTCACTAGGAACGCACAACGCTTGCTGCTCAAAGCACGATTAAATTCGTTTCAAAATTAAAATCACGAAACCCACAAACACCAAAATAAAACATTGTATATGTATGCGTGTCAAGCTGAAAAAACGCTTGAAATTCATGAACTAACATCAAACTCTCTTCCTCCTCTCATCTATGGGCCCTCATGAACCCATTATGAAAATGAACTTGAAAACCGGTTTTCGATAGATGAGAACGGGAAAAGAGTTTAATGTTAGTTCAAGATTTTCAAGCAACGAAATTTGCTGCGTTTTTTCAGCTTGACACGCATACATATATAATGTTAAGATATATTTTGGTGTTGATGATTTTTATTTTGAAATGCACTACTCCACACAAGCGGTTTATGTGTTTACACAAAATAAAACAAATTTTAGGCTTCATGACAGTTCATGATAATGTAAACTGAACTGTCAGTTCATGTTGTCGTCAAGTTCATGTTCATGTTGTGTTCACGATAGTGTAAACAGCCCGAGTTAGTTTTTAAAAACAGAATATAGTTTCCCATTTTATTCATTGATTTTGTGGCTACAATTTATTTAATATTCAATATAAGAATCGAATTCGAATAAATAGAAAAATCTTTTATTTTGGCGATGTAGGTTTTATTCCAAAAAGTAGTTTAAAACGTTTTTCTAAAATTAGCATCCCAAGCATGTTATTCCAGTCATAGAAAATCTTCCAAATCATACTAAACGAATCATTCAAATATAAACTCTTTTAATACATATTTTTATAAGTTATGTTTTTTATTAGGAAGTGCGTGATCCATATGTACCTTTTTGTTTCTTAGTATATTTCATTTTACTTAGTGATTTACTTAGTGCATTTCAAATTAAAATAAATGCTGGCTTTACACTTAAAATAAATAAATAAATAAACGCTTACCCTTAAATAAATTTCACAGAGTCAATAATATTAACAAATTAATTTATTGCTCATTTATATAAATATATGTATATGCACATATGTTTATAATATAAAATCGTAATTTTTGGGTTAAAACAAGGTAAATATATCAAACCTGACAGCGAATTTGTAGATCCAAAAATCTAGATAATAACACATTTATACACAATATATGTTCAATTCAAAACTGAATGGATATTTTTTTAATATAAACTCTTTAATTACCTATTCAATATCTTGCTGATATCAATTTGTTTATAAAGTAATTTATTTATAAGCTAATTTTCAAATTTTATCGCATTTTACAATTGACACTAAGCGAAACAATTTTATAATATCACAAATTATAAACAAATTAAACATTTTTATGAACAAAATTAATGTGAAAACTACTTTTATATCACCAAAAATAAATTCTAAATTCTTTCGTAAGACAATACAATATTTGTGTCTATTTTTTATGTGTCAAAGACAAAATAAAATTAAAAACATTGATATTTGTTCTCCCAGAGTTGCAATTTATGAAATATGACAGGTTCATATTTACACGGAAGATATTTATTCATTATTGACACACGATTTCAACAAAAATTATAAAATTACAATAACGATATTATCCAATTCATAAATAAACGCATGAATAATAGCTTAGAGTGTATCTAGATTTAAATTTGAAGCATTATAAGGTTTTTATTTTGATTATGCTTATCTTGCTAACAAGAATTAAAATGAATTTCAAGAATTTGATTCTTACCAGCATTGTTATAATATTAAAAGTCACACATGTATGGTAATATGTATAAAAATATTTAGAATTTATAACATTAAAACGCATATTTTTTATGTAACCTTCGGGTGTACTGCGATATCACAACGACATCGTTTTTTTTAAAAAAATTCGAGATCGGACAAACACTGCAAGTTTGACGTAGCCGCTTTCGATTTATTTCTGTTGTTAAAGTTAAAATAACCACTTTGAGGATAATGCTTCGAATTAAATCGATAAAAGAAAATTTACTAAATTCTTTATTTTGAGAATTTATTATAATACTCATATTATTAAAATTTATAATATTATAAATAATAGATTTCGGTTTATTTCTGTTATTAAAGTTAAAATGACCACTTTGAGGATAATACTTCGAATTAAATCGATAAAAGAAAAAATTCACTAAATTCCTTATTTTAAGAATTTATTATAATATTTATAATATTAAAATTTATAATATTATAAATAATAGATATTATTTTATCCAATTACTTCATAATTAATTATAATCAGAATTTTTTTCAGTTAGCAATAGTAAGATTGTAACCAAGATTTGGGTGATGATTGATTCATAGTGACGATATATTTTTATTTCTTATTAGTGAAAATAGTTGATTAGGCTATAATGGTGGTACAATCACACTCAGGGGAGTTTCGTGATACTGCATCTATTTCAATTAAGTAACTGACAGGAGACGATTTGAGCAAAAGTGCTTTTTTCGATATCCTCTAACTGTTTGTTGGCGATTGAAACGACTCTACAAATTATTCTAAATTTAACATGTTAGTTTTTATTTACTACTGTCCAATTGTCAGTTGCAAATTTAAAACCTTTCCTTTTTTGAAAAGAACAAAACTAAATGTTTTGTATGTATATGTACTATATATGTCATATAGGAGCATAACTATGCGTTTCGTTTATTGCAATTAAATAATAATGGTCTACATGAAAACAGATTTTAAAAAATTGCAATACTGCTATTAATTACAATAAATCACTGTCAGCTTGAACGGGCTATTTAACAGTAAAAACTAATAGAGTTTCACTTATCTAAGCTTTTTTTCTATATATGAAGTTAAATAGAATATATTTTTCTATATATGATATAATTAAATTTAAAGGTCAAGTTACGTTTCTCCAACTGTGATATTAAAACTAAAGTGAGATAGTAAAGCATAATTTATTGTAATTTAATAATAATTTATTATAATCTTATTAAGATTAAAAAACCTTAGAAATTATTTATTTATTTATATTGAGTTTATCACAGAAAATACTATACAAAAATATAAACCAATATGGTGTGAAGGTCTTATATGTCTGCTCCATCCTCTTTACCGGTAGTGAGTTATTATTGTACAGCGAGTTATTACTTGAAGAACCGTTGTTTTGGTTAATTTGAAAAATTTGTTGTTTTAAATTAGACTCGTTTACCATGTTACACACAATTTAATTTATGCAGTCATTACCAATAATATTTCATTATTTTGAAAAGTATTTATTAGGGTAAAATCAAAATAAATGAAGTTTTAGAATTTATTTATAAAAATTTGTCAATACATGTAGATGTGTTTGAGTGTCTTCTGGTCAATCAAATATTTTTAAAGTAATTTCATTTCATTATTTCATTAAATTTTCTATAATGCATCATCAGATGTATCATCTATCTATATTGACATCAACCAAACTTTGAGATTGTTTTTGAGGAATCTTAAGGAATAGAACTTTTTGACTCCATTTTTATACTCTCATTTTCTATCGTTATATCAGTGTAAAATTCATTTTTTATTAAAAATTGATCTGTGCTTGTTTCAGGTACTTCATTTTTTATAAATTTGTGTAAAATAATATTATCTTCCATTGATCTTACATCATCGACTGCGCAGTCGACTGGCTCTGTCTTAATATTTGCATTCTGTAATGTAGTATACACTTCGTTTACTAATAACAATTCTTCTGTTTCTTTTTTAGCTACATTATCTATTATATATTGTTGATCCGCATATTTTACTGTTAATGTACTGTCATTAGCAGCAATAGTGACATTTGTATTGGCATTTTCGTTAAGACCATTACATTCGTACATTATTGTTGATGAAGAATTGGAACGATTTTTCTTTAATTTAAGTGCAGATTTAGCATTATTGAAAGTCAGCGGTTGCTCCTTATGTACTTCAATTATGTGGGAATTTAGAGTTTTAATTGAACCAAATTTTTTGTTGCAAACTATACAGTCCTCTGTTTGTCCTTTTTTCATGTCTGTGAAATATAAAACACATAGTTTTTTTCATAATTTATAACATAATTTGTTATATTTTTCAACATTAATATTAGAAAACTAAAAGTTGGGAATAAAGAAAGTCTCTTTGTGTATTAAAGCTTTCATGCTTTCCTGAAGTTTCGAACATCTATTCGCAAACTTTTAAATATAATAATAAATGCAGAATTTATATTATATGTAACTAAATACCGGAAAAGCAATGATTAAGATGGATTGAACATGTGATAAGAACGCCGAATATGAGAGTACCGCTTAAGATTTATGAGAACGAAGTAGGAAGAGAATAGAGAAGAATGAAAGGATGTTGTTAAACAGGCTTAGGTCCTACATGGACTATATAGTCCTGGATGATGATGAAATGCCGGAAGGCGTTGTAACGTTTATCGGAATATAATCATACGTATAAGATATATATAGTAAGTTCCTGTAGATCTTATTGTAGAATAAGAAAACATTCTTCAATATATAATAAATATTTCTTACTTTTATGAACTCCCATGTCGTAATGACTATCAAGTTCTTCCTCCGTAACGTATGTAACATTGCATTCTTTGCATTTAAATGTCTGTTCTTGGATGTCTTCTTCACCGGTTCTATTAGACAAATGTATTCTGATGTGCTGCTGAAGTCTGTAAAATAAAATTAGGATTACATTTATCCTATTTTTCTAAACAGAATCACCTACTGCTTAATGGATTTGAATTTTTCGTCACACTGATCACAAGCAAATGGACGAAGATGAATTTTGCTATGATAACGTAGTCGAGTAGCTTCAAAAAAACTTAAACCACATTCATTGCAAACGTGTGGTTTTTCACCTGTATGTCGTCTCATATGGTGATTGAGCACTTGCTTACGAGCAAAACTTTGATTGCACTAGAAAAAATATATATATTTATTATAATTATTCTTAATTAAAAATAATCTTTATATTAACTTCAGTGCAAGAGAAGGGTTTTTCACCAGTATGTCGTTTCATGTGATGATAGAGTGACTGTTTAGCAGTAAAGCTTTGATTACACTTTAAAAAATATTTTTATTATATTTAATTTTAAACGAACATAAATTGCATTTGTAATTACTTCAGTGCATTTGTAGGGTTTTTCCCCAGTATGTCCCTTCATATGACGATTAAGTGAACTCTTCAGCGAAAAACTTTGATTACACTAACAAAATTAAACTTATTATATTAATTGTTAAATAAAAGTACTTGAAATACTTTACTTTAGTACAAGTGAACGGTTTTTCACCAGTATGTTGCCTCCTATGACGATTAAGTGACTCCTTAACTGAAAAACTTTGTTTACACTATAAAAGATATTTGTTTAGAATAGTTAATTTTAGATAATAATTAATGCAGTTTTACTTCAGTACATGTGAAAGGTTTTTCACCAGTGTGGGAACGACGATGATTTTTCAGTGTACTCAAATATGGAAATTTCTTATCACAGAAGTCACATGCAAAAGGACGGTCATCCGTATGCATGCCTTTATGAGCACTACAGAAATTAAAAATATAAATATATATTTATTATATTAATTAATTTACACAAAAATTTATAAACTAACTTTAAAGCTATAGTTTCATTTTTTAATAACAGCTGCTCGGTAGATGTTTCAGCTAGTTCATCGTTTATAAATTCTTGTACAGTAGAATCATCTTTATTAGAAGTTTGACCATTTACATGCGTATCATGGGTATCGTCAGTAACTTCCGGCTCTTGTTTTATAGTTTCATTTTCTAGCGTTATCATATTAGTATTTTCGTTTTCTATTAAAAATAATAGTCGTGTGGGCTTTTCTGAAACATCATCTTTGATTGTTGTTTGATTGTCTGAAATGATATCAATTGAATTTTCACGAACTGTGGGTTTTGTTTGCTGCCGAGCAAAACATTGTTTAGACTAAAAATAGAGATATTATATAGACAGTCATTAATTAAAATAATTATAATAATTAAATTTATAGTATTAATTACATTTCGTTTTCTACGCAATCGCATATTTTCTCTTCTTCTTTGTCTCTGTACTCTCCCTGTAAGTGATTTACGGTAAGGCATGATTGTTGATGTCGATTCAACCAACTAATTAAGCTTGGAAAAAAAATTGTAAAACATTTAACTATCAAACAATACTCTTGAAATTTACCTGCAAATGTTTAACTCACCAAAATAAAACGAACGTTGTCAATCTAATTTTCGTTAAAATTTGCAATAAACCAACCACATGCAAAGAAAACGGAAAAAAATTGTATCACTTCACGAAATTAAACACAAATTCGCCGTAAACGATACACAATTCGCTACAAAAACAATAACATTGAAAAAAACATGGATTTTGTTGTTGTAGTCACTAAATTTGCGTCAACGCATTTTTACCTGTGTTCCCGTTAGCGTACATGCGAAAAAATAACGTTGTGCACTTTTGCACGTCTTCACCTTTCCAAAGGTATAAATTTTATCCATATATGTCAACGGCAACACAGAGAAAAAGGGAACACAAACTTTTTATTTAAGTTATTTATATATAAGAAGATTACATCAACACATTTGTATGCTTTTTCATCAGTATGTATACAATGATAATCTTTTATTGCACTTAAAAAACCTTTTTCTCCTTTATGTATACGTTTATATTTTAAGTTGAGTTTGAGATAATTCATTAAATTTTCATTGAAAAATATAACATAGTTCAAAATTGATGAAGTGTAAAAATACGTTTTACAGATAGGACACACGTATTTTCCTGTTTTCCTCTCAGATGTTCTCTAATTTTTTTTTGCAAACTAATGAAGCGTAATAATTTTTATGAGACATCTTATTACTGTTGATGACGTTTAAAATTAAATTTATGATCAAAATTTTTGTCAAATGTTTTGCAAGAATAATGCTCTTCCTGGTTTTTATATTGATCTTCATACAACTTTAATAGGTATAATTGTTGGTATACTCTTCAGTTTGGTCAAGTTGATTTGTTTGGGTGGAAATGCATTATACTTGCGCCCTGCTCTTGTAATGTTGAAGTCATTAGTTCAGCTATTACTACTTTGTTGTTCTATTGAAAATAATCTTGAAATAAATTGTTTGACCACAATTTAAAATATAAACATATTACAATTTCATTGTACATACGTACATACATAAGTTTAAGTTAGGTGTAGTCCTAAAGGAACTACAAGCCTGTAAATAAAAAAATTACATTTATAAAATTAGAACTCAAATAAATTGCATACTTTTCTAATAAAATAATACCTTAAACGTCAAAACCGTAAGAAAGTTCCTTATAACTCTTATGTGTTTGTAATTGCATAGTAAATTATTTATTTACTAGTTTTGTATCGTTGTATACATTGTATACATTGTACAATTGGTGTACAATATTAAAAAATATATTTTTGTTGATACGTTTAAATTAAGTTTACAAAATCTTCCGTACAACTTAGCTAATGTTTTTGTTTTCTTTCAAATGTGTCAAAGAAAAATTAAATTAGGAGTTGTAACCAGAGTTGTAATTAATGCGGACGTAAAGTTTATATGAATTTATTATCACTATCTAAAATACAATTAACGATTATGGACTATTATGGCCGTGTGTGTGTTCAAGTACATTGAAGTAGAGTAAATTTTACATATACTAGGGATTTTTTGCAATGCACTTACATAAATATTTATTTATTGATTTAATACATTTATTTATTATTTTTGGTTAAAAGTTTTTAAATTTATTTGTTAAACATCTTATAAAATTTTCACAATGGTAAAACCTAATTTATCTAATGTACCCTACTCGAAATTCTGATAAATACCAACATAATTTACCATTTCCCTTTATTTTCCATCAATTTACTCGAACTCGCACATGATCTTAGAGTGCAATTATATTACAAATACTTAGCTATTCACACAGCATAATTAATTGTCCTTTTGATGTAGCAAATAAATCTAGTTCGTATAAAGATTAGCTTATTTTAATATTTAAATTATCTCTGTGGTGAAAGGAACCAATTTAACATAATTATAATCTTTTTTCTTTTACACATTTTGAAAAAGTAAAAATAATTAATCAGATCGTATAAAATTCCAGAAATATTAAATTAATCCAGATTTTGTAATCATAAACATAATCAACTTTTGTCCAATTAATATTGATCTTGTTATAAAGTATTGCTTTTTATCTTCTTTACTGTATTTATATTGAAATGTAGTGTTGACAGATATGAATCACTGGTATCAAAGCCACTTTGGAATAGGAAATGTTAATATAATATTTTAGCGCCATTTCAGCTGCATAAAAAGGGAATTCAAGGAATCAAATGTTCAGCCGTTTAAAAGCTATCAAAACAATTATATCTTAAATTTTTGTTTAAGTAAGGATTGGAAGCACTTAAGCTTTCCCAAATTAATTAATTCTAATAAATATGAACAACTAATTTCATGTATAAAAATTTTTACATCTTTGAGTCGAGATGATTCAAACTTAAATACCTTATACTCTATAATTTTATGCTTCTAATAAATAGTAGGGAAATAATAATAATAACATACTTCAAGTAGACGAATTGAACACCATTTGCTCTTCTTAAGCCAGACTAATTTCAATTAGGCTCTACCTCACCCATTTCCTTTTATAAATTTCTTCGTTCACTTCCTATTATATTCCTCACACTTCATCCTATTCGACTTGTGATTCATGCACAATTTCTGCACCACAGTCCCCTTTAGGATAACGCAATAAAACTATTGACAAACCTTTGAAAGTAAAATACTAAGAAAGATATTTGGATCTCGTCCATGAAAACGAGATCAGTCGATAACATCTTGATGCCGAGTTAGAAAAACTCTTTAATTAACAAAAACAAAAATATATTAACATACAGATTATGATAGAGAGAGATGATTTTGATATTGAAATGCTGGAATACGATGCTAAAAAGAAGAGCTATTTATTTAAAATTTTATTATTTATATTGAATGCACAAATACACATATATCTTAAAATAAAACCATAAGGGATGAGATTTACAAATTTAGTGATACATTCGTTGTAGCTAATTGCCTTTTATATAACTATAATGAGAAAAATATACCTTAAAGACCTCAGTTTTTGATTTACGATTTGAAGAGCAAAAAAATAATAATTTAAAAGATCCGAAATATTTAATTTAATATTTATTAAATTTTATTCAAATAAAGATTTATTGTTAATTAAAATATATATTTTGATAATTGAAAATATATCTCGCGAAGTTTGTTTAGAAATGATTAAAACTCATCGACCACTTCAACTGAATAACTGAAATTTAAGAATATCGTAGTGTGGATATTGGTCCAAATTAGATTAGGTAAGTTGAATTGGTAAAGAATAAATTCCTAATAAAACTATTAATTATAGTTTGTAAAAAAAAATAGATTAATAAAATTTGTTTAAAATATTTTTTTTATTTAAAAAATGAATTTTCCACTATAGTTTGCAAATTTAGTTTGTATAAAAATAAACAAATTAATAAAATTTGTTAAAAATAATTTTTTTATTAAAAAAATGATTTTTGCATTTTAATTAATAAAATGTATGATAAAATTTTCTATTTCAAAACTAATAAAGTGTTATAAAATGTAAACTAATAAAGTATTATTTACATATTATTATTATGCATCAATTTTCATTGGTTTATTATGAAATATTATTAAATAGTTTAAAAAACATATTTTAAATAAACAATATATAATATGTTATTATTTCGAAGTGTTTTAAATGATTAAAATTGTGAAAAATATGTTAAAATGAAATTATAGAAATTTCTGGTTTCTAAGGTTTTAGAAAGCATAAGATTTAAACATTTAGTTGATTTTACTTTTTAAGTTATAAACAATAAATTACAAGAAAAAACCTTAAACAATTGTAGTGTAATAGCCTACTAAACAAAAATTACTATTAAGATTAAAACAGAATATATTATTTATTACTTATTATTACATTGATTATTTTTATTTAAATAATTTTTCTAAAGAAAAGGATAATTTTAATACTATAATTTTTACGATCTTTATATAACTTATAATAAATTCAATTAATATATATAAGGCTACAGTTCTAAATATATTACCATAACAAAAACAAAGAAGTAAAAGTAAATAATATTGTAATTAAAAAAGAAATTACCTAACTAAATTAAGAAAATCTGTTTTTTAGTCTTTAATATATACAATTGATTTTTCACCGAAACCTTTAATTCTGTAAACGTTTTTTAATAATAATTTAATCATTGTTTTATTTTCTTTAACTTCATACAAATAATAAATCACACTTGAATTTTTTGTATAGCTCATCCATATTTTTAATTTAAAAAATTTGCTTATAGGCGAATTTAAAATCAATATTCAGAAATCATTAGCTACATTTTGTTTCACACATAAGCAAGACACTTAGACTATAAAAAAAGAAACATGCCGTGCAGATCTGTAGTACTTCCAGTGTTTTGAATTTCCTCCTTGAAATACTAAAACCTTGTATGTTTTAATTCGTTTATATAAACTTCCATATTACCATAAATTGTTGTTGTAGCCCGCAAGGTTCTAAAAAAACAGATAACATGAAACGAATTACAAAGATATATACACATGAGTAAGGATCTAAATATGTAATGGTAGTGGAGAGGTGAGGGGATCAATTCGAAATGAAAATGGATTGGGGATGGATGAGATGTAATAAATTCTTAGTTTCTTCGTTGTGGCATATGTACCATTGCATTTGAAACTGTGTTCTTAGGCTTCATTTTTACGCTTCCAGTAAAACGAAATCTGGTATGCTGCTTTAGTTTGTTAAACCAAACTAGTGTAAAATGCTATCAATCTAAATAGCATTATGTGCTTTATATTAATTTTGATGCTTTTTTTACGTTGTCCACAGACACTGCTATGATAACAAAGTCCAGTAATTTCAAAATACTTAATCCATATTAATTACACACTTTTTACCAACGCGTTGCTTCACACGACAACTGATTGAACTCTTAAGAAGCAAGTTTTGATTGCACTATAAAAAAAAATATATGTTTATTATATTATATTTAATCTCTTAAGTAAAAATAATTACAAAACTTACTTTGTTGTATTTGTAGAGTATCTTGAGTATGTAGCTTCATATGACGCTTAAGCGAGTCATTAACATAAAAACTCTTTTCGCACTAAAAAATATTTTTATTTTTTACAATTAATCTTAAATGAAAATAATTACAATATTTACTTCAGTGCATTTATAAGCCTTCTCACCACTATGTAGTTTCATGTGATACTTTAGTCCATGCTTAGCAGCAAAACTTTTATTGCACTATAAAGAATAAATAATTCTTATATCAAATATTTAATGAAAATAATAGTAATGTTTACTTCCAAGCATGTGTAGGGTTTTTCACCAGAATGAAGTTTCATATGACGATTGAGTGAGCTCTTAGTATAGAAATGTTGATTACACTATTAAAAATATATACTTATATTTAATCTTAAATGAAAATAATTCAAATATATACTTCATTGCATGAGAAGGGTTTGTCAGCAATATGCCGTCTTAAATGAATATCGAGCTCCTGTTTACTTGCAAGACCTTTGTTGCACTATTAAAAATAAATGGTAAATATATTTATTTTACTTCTTTTATTTCAAAGTTTATATAAACTTTTTAATCAAAACAGCTTCTTTTAGTTTTTATATGTGTATTTTTTTATATAGTTCTTTTTTATATTTAATTGCCAACGAGTCCAAGCTTTTTTGATGTCTTCATTAAAAAGGAAGACATAACCAACAACTTGCGCTGAAGAACAAAAAACTTCAAATTTTATTTAGAAAAGAACCGCTTAAATACACTTACAAAAACAATAAAAACTGTTTTTAAATCAACGAACACATGATTAACAGTAGGTGAGCTTAAAACAATGAAGTGGCATATATAATTTTATATAAAAATTGCACAATTATATACTGCCACTTGTACTTAACATATCATAAAAAATCTTATATTACAGTAATTGCTGTATTTACTTTAATGCATGAGAAAGGTTTTTCACCAGCATGTCGCCTTATATGCCGCTTGAGAGCTTCCTTAACAGCAAAACTATTATTACACTATAACAATTACATTATTTTTATATTCAATAATGGGTAAAAGTAACAACAATATTTACTTGAGGACACGAATAGGGTTTTTCACCAGAATGTAGTTTCATATGACGATTTAGTGATTCCTTAACTGCAAAGCTTTTATTACACTAAAAGATAATATACTTTTTATATTTAGTTTTCAATTAATATAATTGCAAAATTTACTTTGGCGCATATGTGCGGTTTTTCTCCAGTATGACGATTCATATGACGGTTCAAAGAGTCCTTAATATTAAAGCTTTGATCACACTATAAATAATATATATTTACATTTAATATTAAATTAAAATAGTAGTAGTATTTACTTCAGTGCATTTGTAAGGTTTTTCGCCAGTATGCTGCCTCATATGACGTTTGAGTTCTTGTTTAACAGCAAAACTTTTATTGCACTATAAATAATATAAATTTATATTATATTTTTATTACAAATAGAATTTATTTCTTTACTTACATCAGCACATGTGAAGGGTTTTTCACCAGTATGCCGCCTTGTATGATATTTAAGAGCACGCTTGCACGCAAAGCTTTTATTGCACTATAAAAATTATTTGTATATAAAATTATGTTTGTTTTGTAGTGTATATAATTGTATTGTATTGTAATATTTACTTCAGTGCATCTGAAGGGTTTTTCACCAGTATGTAACTTCATATGACGATTGAGTGAATCCTTAACAGCAAAACCTTGATTACACTATAAAAAATATATTCTAAATTTGTTCTTATATATAAATATTTCTAGGATTTACTTCAGTGCATATAAAGGGTTTTTCTCCAGCATGTCGCTTCATATGGAGATCGAGTCCTTGCTTACGAACAAAACAATGATTACACTATAAAACATATATACTTGTGTTTTTTCATTAATCAAAATAATTTAGTTTTTTACCTCTGTGCACATATATGGTTTTTTACCAGTATGTCGCATCATATGAGCAGTGAGTGCTTGATTTCGAGAAAAACTTTGGTTACACTAGAAAAAAAAAATATCCTGTTTAACATTGTTTTAATGAAAATTGTTGAAAGAATTACTTCAGCGCATGTGAAGGGTTTTTCACCTGTATGTCTTCTCATATGGAGATTAAGTGTCCCCTTAGTTGCAAAACTTTGATTGCACTAGAAAAACATGCACATTAGATTAAGTATCATATGAAAATTATTGCAATATTTACTTCACTGCAAGCAAACGGTTTTTCACCAGTATGTAGTTTCAAATGACGTATGAGTGATTTCTTAGCAGGAAACCTCTTATTACACTGAACAAAAAATATATATATTATGTATCATTAAATTCAAATGAAATCAAATATAAAAATTACTGTTGTGCATAAATAAGGTTTTTCACCAGTATGTCGCGTCATGTGATTGTTAAGTGCTTGCTTATGAACAAAACATTGTTTGCACTATAAAACAGAAAAACTCATTATAAATAATCTGAAATTTAAATAATCGTATTACTTACTTCAGTACAGGTGTAACGTTTTTCGCCAGTGTGTGTACGACGATGATCTTCTAAAATACTCAATACTGAAAATTTCTCACCACAATAGTCGCAAGTAAAAGGGCTCTCATCTTTATGGGTACTTTCACGATTTCTACATAATCTTTGAAAAGTAATTTTAAAATATTTGTTAAACTACCTACTTTAAAATTGTGGATGCCTGAACCTTGTCACCACTTTTATGTTGCTCTGTGTGCTGCTTCTCTTCGTTTTGTGTGATTTGTGACATTAAAACCTCATCTCTGATTGAAGTTCGATCGTCTGTAACAACACCATTCAAACTTTCTAGAACTGTAGTATTCGGCTCCACTTTTATACTCTCATTTTCCAGTGTTATAACACTGTATAATTCTTCTGTATTTGTTTCATCAGCTTCAACTTTGATAGATTGTTGTATATCAACGCTATCGTTCAATGACATTTGATCGTCTGTTACCGTACCTACTACGGCTTCAATAACATTAGTTACCGACTCTAATTTTATTCTTTTATTTTCTAGTATATCTACAGTATACTCCACATTTCTTAATAGTTGATCAGTGAAATTTTCATGTGGTTCATCTTTTATAAATTGTTTAACTAAATTATTATCAATTGATGTTCGAACATGTGTTATGTCATTAACTAAACATTCAGGAGCAGGTGTTTCCGCTGCTATATTATTACTATCAGTTTCTTGTTTAATAGCATCATATATTTCATTTTTGAGAATTTGTTGTGAAACTACTCCCTCACCAAGAGGCTTTCTGTCTTCATTAGTAGCATCAATAATACCTTCTGGGATAATAGTTTTTTGTTCCATTTGAATATTCTTATTTTCTAGTGTTATAATAGTGTATAATTCGTTGTTTAATAACAATTGCTCTGTGGTTGTTGTAGGTACTTCATTATCATTCAATTGTTGTAAAGATGTGCCATCTTCAACCGACATTTTGTTGTTTTTATTAACGTCCAACAGACTTTCAGAAATACTATTTTTGGGTTCTATTTTTATATTCTCATTTTCTACTGAAGTACACAGTTCATTATTTAATAACGATTGCTCTGTAGTTATCTCTAATACTTCATTTTCTTTAAATTTTATATCAGTAGTATCATCTTTAATTAACGATTTATCATCTGTAGGAAAAAATATTTTATTACACACATTACTACTACTGATGATGTCAGTTGTACTTAGCAAACAGGAAGTAGACTTTTGATGGAATTCAAATTCAAATTTACAATTAAAATCCTTGCCGCTCATTTTGTAATCATATAATCTTCCACGATTTTTGTGTTCTTCTTCATGCAACCTCATCAAATCAGATGTGCGCAATTTTGCATTACATATAGAACAAGAAAATTCATTGGATTCTGAATGTGTTATAAAAATATGTCGCTCGTAGCCGATTTGTGTTTTAAATGATTTTGAACAATCCGAACAATTTATTTCACCCATCTTAAAAAGAGAAATAATATGATATAAGAAATATTTTTATATTAAAAAATTTTGCTAACGAAATCTATTAAAAAAACTGAAAACCTTTCCATATTTAGTCTCGTATAAGAGTTTCATCTGTGATCTCATAATATAATCTGCTTAAGAACTTTAGCCTTAGAAGCTTAAACAGGTTTGTGCCAAAAAGACGGGGTTATAATAGAAAATATTTTTTGGGAATGTTTCTGCAATCCATTCAATTATTTATAATAAAAAGAGTATAATAAGAACAAAGGGGGGATATACTAGAAAATATTTTTTATCGTGTTCCTACTACATCAATTATAAAAAGATTTAACAACGGTTTAATTTATGTGCTCATGCATGTATATATGTACGACTATATAGTTGGATTCTAATTTGGTATTATATTATAAATACATTCTCTGCTCAAAAACTGAAATTAACACTATAATCTCTATATAATATTATTAGTAAAATATAAAAACAGAAACACAAAAAAATTGTATAGTTCTAATTATGTAAGGATTATATTGTCAAATCGGGGTCCATTTGACTAATAAAAGGATTTAACATCATTTCATATACATCAAATCAAGATTAATGGTTGTATTCAATTGATGAATATATATATATTTTTTTTATTATTTTAAACACAATACGTACAATAATATAAATACAAGTTTCATTTGACTACGACTAGTTCACTATGACAAAGAACTATCAAGCAGTTTTGTTATATTTCAGAATACGTTTTAGAATTGTCAAGTTGTCAAAGACTTAGTGCTAGTAGAGTAGTAATCAAAATTATTATTAGAGTACTAATTCAGGGGTAGATCTGAAGGCTAGTCCATTTAAGTCTCATCAGCAGGCCAGATGTATTAGACAGATGTTTGGCTGTCTCATTTAGATGCTGTTGTAATCGTAATCTTTATAAATATATATGATAATATACACCCAACTCTTTTTTTACACGGTAGATACGTTTCTCAGAAATCCGTGTAAAAAAAATGCCAAGTGTCAAATAAGACAGTGATTTTGAGACCGTACTAGATTAAAAATTTTTTACAAAAAAATTTTTTTTTTCAACCGTGTAACTTCAAATCCGTGTAAAAAGAAACCGTGTAAAAAAAGAGTTGGGTGTATATGTACATTAATACGTCATTTTGTAAATATGTAGTAAAAGTAAATTATGAAACATGAATGAAATTGAAAATGTATAATAATGTAAAAACTTATTTATGTTTTAAAAGGCTTTTGTGAGACTTAAATAAAAAACTTGATATTTCAAATATTTTATTTTTATTTTATATACTAATTATTTATAAAAATATTATCGATTACACGAAATTCATTTGAATTTTTCCTTAAAGTGGAGTATTATGTCTACGGTTCGCGTAAACAAGTAAAGGGGCTATTTATACTGGAATTTGTTTACAAATTGAGTTCTAAATAATAAACAATTATATTTCTAAATAAATTTTCAGGCACAACAGACTAGAAGGACGAACATATAAAATAATTTTCTACTTATTTGGCACTACAGTCCAGTGTGAGTCTTGGTCTTCTTTATGTAAAATACTACCAATTTAATTTCTAAATGAGATCAACACTTTTAACTAACTATTAAACTATTAAACTTAAACGATATATGAATATACTAATAGAAGGCCTTGGAGTTACCATATATTATTCGATTACTAAAGTATTCAATCTCTTATCCTGGTCGTGTTATTAATTAAATATACTGCAAATGTTACTCATTATTCACAAATAATCTTCTTTCATTCAATTAATACTATTTATTGTTGGCATTAAGAGACTATGAAAAACTTACATGAAATATGTCATGACTTTCACCGCAGCAAAAACAAATATCTTCATTCTCAATACTAATAGTGTCCTTTTCAATTTTTTCCATATCATTCATCCTTGTATTTTACGAGCGGTAACCACTATACAAGTGGCACATTCAGATTATTTCTTCACACCTAAAAATTAGGATTTTAGGAAATTAAAATTTAGAAGAATAAAAATATACCAATTTTAGCACTTACCTATTTTAACAAACAAAATAATTTTTTATAGTGAATAATAAAAAATGAATTTACTCTGTAATTTTGGAGGTCAAAGTTAATTGCACATTTTCTAATTTAAACTCTACAATTATCCATACAATATGCGTTTTCATTAAAATATCAAATAATATATTTATGTTAATTTCTCATATATAAAAAATTATTACAAGCAATTTGTATTATGAATGATACAAATAAGTTGGAGAATTATATACAATTTGTACAAAGTTTAATTGGTTCACAAAATCATAGACTAAAACTAAAAACTTTATTGACTTCATATTTGTTGTGCTTTTAAAATGTGTCAAAGAAATAATGTAATTAAAAAAAAAAAATTGGAGTTCGGTCAACCAGCCCAGGGTTGTAATTTATGCGCACAAAAGTCAATTTATTACAAATTACAATTTAATCATAAATTTGCAACGAAAAGACTTGAAGAAGCGAATCGAATAAAATTATATTTAATTATGCTGTGTGAATACATTAAATAATTCATGCCATTACCAAAATCGAATTGGTTTATAATTACAACACAGGTTTTCATAATAATGTTTCCAGCTGATTACTCATTAATATATTAAAATATGTAACAATTGTCAAAATAAAAACCCGAAACGATAATGTAAACACTAAATCAACTTTAATAAATTTCCTTGACTAAAGTTCGTATAATTTTACAATGAAGCTACTTGTACAAGCCAATTGAATAAAATTATATTTAATTATGCTGTGTGAATAGATTAAATAATTTATGCCATTTCAGATTAAACGAAAAGTTGTATTATAATCTGCCTTGAATGTATATTAGATATTGTATAGCAAACCTTATTGATTCATGTTAAATGAAATTTTATTATCGACAAGAAATTTATTAAAGCTTTGTTTTCTTTAGGTGTTATAATACATGTATGTATATTATTTAAAAATTGTTATTATTTAAAAATATTTTAACACAATGTTAGCTAGAAATATAATTAATTGTTATGTGAATTCGGAAATTCATCCGATCATGCTAAACTCAATTTGATTTTGTCAAAAATCAAATCAACTTAACAGTTTCATTTTACATTTACCCTGAAAACATTAAAAATGGATGTTTAGACGTTTGTCATTTTATGGCCTTACCGAATACCAAGTTACCGAGAAACTGTAAGTTTAGGCTGTAGTGCTAGCTTTATGTTTAAAGCCTACTTAAGATTTTATAATGGAAGGTTGTGACACAACGGTTAGCGTTGTTGACACGCAGACTAAAGGTTATTCTTGTGTACTACACCAACCGGTCAAATTAATAAACTTGAGCAAATCCCTAATTTTGTAAGATGACAACTCTGTTAGGTAGGTAAGAAAATGACCCCAAAGATTTTAAATTTTATACCTAATAATAGAGCAACGTTTAAGATTTGGTATATATCCTCAACTTTAGATATATAACAAATTACTGTTTTAAATGAATCGCATTCTCTGTCACATATCTATATCTTTAAACTAAAAATTTTGATTTTCCTTTATCTTGTTTTATTTCATATTTTGTGTTTATGACAACATTAGCTTAAAAATAATTTAAATTAAACTTATATTTAACTTATATTTATATTTATATTTAAATAACTTCCGTAAACTTTTTCTTGATTCTTAACTACATTAACAACGTAGTATGCATAAAATGCTTAACGTCGTCGGAATCTGACAAAAAAACTGATCAGTTATTTAAAGCTTAAGATGAAGATGAATTTTAAAATTAAAATTCCCGAAGCGTTGGCTACGTTTTATCCATACATAAGTAAAACAATTTTTCTATAGAAAACAACCATGCCATGTCAATAAACCATTATACTACCAATGTTTTGGATTTACTCTTTGAAATTCTAAAACTTTATATTCTTTTAGAATAATTCGTTAATAAGAACTTCTATAAATGTTCAGTTCCTCCGCTGTTGCACTTAAATCTGTGATTCATACTGGGCTTCGTTTTTACGCTTCCAATAAAATGAAATCTATACCAGATTTCTGCTGCTTTAGTTTGTAAAACCAAACTGGTGTAAAATGATAATAGCAACGTGTACTTCACATTTGAATGTTTTGAATATTTCTTTATATGGTCCACAGAAAATTGAACGTAGATGAGTTTTGCTATGATAACAAAGTACAGTAGTAACAAAATACTTTATCCATATTAATTACAAACTTTTGCCAATGTGTTGTATTGTACGACAACTGATTTAACTCTTAAGAAAAAAGTTTTGATTGCACTATAAAAATATATACTTATTATATTATATTTATTCTTAAATAAAAATAATTGCAATACTTACTTTGTTGTATTCGTAGAATTTCTTTAGCATGACGCCTCATATGACGCTTAAGAGAGTCATTAACATTAAAACTTTCATTGCACTATAAAAATATAGACTTCGTATATATAATTTCAAATCAAAATAATTACAATATTTACTTCAGTACATTTATAGGGCTTTTCACCAGTATGTTGTCTCATATGACGTTTAAGCGCCTGCTTAACAGCAAAACTATTATTACACTATAACAATGATTTCATTATTGTATTTAATAATGCATATAAATAACAATATTTACTTCAGTGCAAGAGTAAGGCTTTTCACCAGAATGCAGTTTTATATGACGATTTAGTGATTCCTTAACTGTAAAACTTTTATTACACTAAAAGATAATATACTTTTTATATTTCGTCTTAAAATAATACATTTGTAATATTTACTTCAGAACATGTGTGGGGTTTAACTCCAGTATGACGATTTATATGACGATTCAGAGAGTCCTTAATATTAAAACTTTGATCACACTATAAAGAATACAAATTTACAGCTAATATTAAATAAAAATAATTGTAATATTTACCATAGTGCATTTGTATGGTTTTTCGCCTGTATGCTGCCTCATATGACGTTTGAGTTCTTGTTTAACACCAAAGCTTTTATTACACTATAAAAAAATTTATATTTATTATAATTTATTGTAAATAGAAACGATTTTGCTAATTACTTCAGTACATGTGTGCGGTTTTTCACCCGTATGTCGCCTCATGTGACGTTTGAGGGCAAGCTTGAACACAAACCTTCGATTACACTAAAAAAATTAGTTATTCATATATATATATTTTTATATTTATTTTGAAGTGAAAATAATTGTAATAATTACTTCAGGACACGTAAAGGGTTTTTCACCAGTATGCAGCTTCATATGACGATTTAGTGATTCCTTAGTAGCAAAACATTGACTACACTATAAATAATATATTTTTTACTTTATTTTGATATTAAAATATTTGTAGACTTTACTTCAGTGCATAAAAAGGGTTTTTCACCAGAATGTCGTTTCATATGAAGTTCGAGTCCTTGTTTACGAGCAAAACAATGTTTACACTATAAAAATATATTGTTATTATAGTTATTCTTTAACGTTAATATTTCGTTTTTTACCTCAGTACACATGTATGGCCTTTCACCAGTATGTCGCATCATATGAGCACTGAGTGCTTGCTTACGAGAAAAGCATTGATTACACTGAAAACAAATTCATTCTTAATATCTTTATTTTTGAATCAAAACTATTAAAATCACTACTTCTGTGCATGTGAAGGGTTTTTCGCCTGTATGTCGCCTCATATGAAGATTAAGTGCCTCTTTGATAGCGAAACATTGATTGCACTATAAAAATGTATGGTATACATCAGATTTAGTACTATTTGGAAAAATTTCAATATTTACTTCACTGCATGCAAAGGGTTTTTCGCCAGTATGTATCCTCAAATGACGCTTGAGTGACTCCTTAACAGCAAAACTTTTATTGCACTTAAAAAATATATACTAAATATCTTTAAAGTTAAATAAAATTAAATGTAAAAATTACAGTTGTGCATGAATAGGGTTTTTCACCAGTATGTCGAGTCATGTGATGATTGAGTGCTTGCTTATGAGCAAAACATTGTTTACACTATAAAACAAAAAAAGTCATTTTATATATATAATCTTAAATTTAAAGAATGGCAATACTTACTTCAGCACAGGAATAGGGTTTTTCACCAGTGTGAGAACGACGGTGGTTTTCCAATACACTCAACACCGGAAATTTCTTCTTACAAAAGTTACAAGTAAAAGGACCCTCTCCTTTCTGTATACTTTTACGCTTTCTAAAGAATTTTAAAAAGTAATTTTAAAATATTTATTAAACTACTTACTTTAAAATTGCAGATTTATTAATATTATCACCACTTTTATGTTCTTTAATGTGTTGTTTCAACAAGCAAGAGGAATTTTTAACTTGTTTTGAATTATTTTCAAATTCTTCTTCTTCTGTGAATTGTAACAATAAAATCTCATCTGCAATGGATGTTCGATCGTCTGTAACAACATCAGTCAAACTTTCTAAAACAGTAGCGTTCGGCTCGATTTTTATGTTCTCACTTTCTAGTGTTATAACACTGTATAATTCGTTTTCTAGTAATAATTCTTCTGAATTTGTTTCAGCTGCTTCAACTTTAATAGATTGTTCTTTAGCAACCGTGCCAACTACAGTTTCTGGAATAGCAGTTTCTAACTCCAATTTTATTCTCTTATTTTCTAGCGTTGTAACAGTGAACTCTGCATTTTTTAATAGTTGCTGTCTAGATATTTGATGTGGTTCATCTTTTTTAACTTGCTTTGCTAAATTATTATCAATTGAAGGTATATCGTATGTTATGCTATTTAAAGAAATACCAGTTTCAGGAATAGCATTTCTAGTTTCTATATTGATACTCTTAGTTTTGTGTGTAATAACACTGCATGATTCATGATTTTCTAACAGCTGCTCTGTAACTATTTCAGTTATATTATCTTTTACTTCTACTTCTTCTTCTACAACAAATCCACTTTTAACAAGTGTTTGATCTTCATTGGTAGACTCAATTACACCTTCAGGGATAATAGTTTTTTGTTTCAGTTTAATATTCTCATTTTCTAGTGTTATAATAGTGTATAATTCGTTGTTTAATAACAATTGCTCGGTGGTTCTTTCAGGTTCTTCATTTTCATTTAATTGTTGTACAGTAGTGTCCGCTTCAACCAATGGTCGATTGCTTATATTGACATCACGTAGACCTTTGGAGATACTAGTTTTGGGTTCTATTTTTATACTCTGATTTTCTACTGTACTACATACTTCGTTTTCGAATACCAATTGCTTTGTAGTTGTTTCAGATCCTTCATCTGTTATCAATTGCCGTTCTGGAACAACGTCTTGCTTACTGGATTTGAGTTTTTCTTTACATTGATTACAGTCAAATGGATGTTGAATATGTAGTCGGGTGGTGTCAAAACTTATTCCACTTTCATTGCAAACGTGAGGCGTTCTGATGGTATGAAGTTCAATATGAAGATTGACCGAATCCTTAATAGCGAAACATTGATCACACTATACCAAATATATACTTATAAAATTAAATCTTTGATGAATATAGTTAGAATATTTACTTCAGTGCATATGTAGGGTTTTTCATCAGTATGTCGTTTCGTATGCTGTTTGAGCATGTCTTCAGAAGTAAAACATTGATTACACTACAAAAAAAAATTTGATTTAAAAATAAATTAAAAATAAAATTTTTCTTGATTTATTTATTATCAAGTCAATATAATCTTGGTATTTACTTCAGCGCAAGTGTATGGTTTTTCACTAGTATGTAGCTTCATATGACGGTTGAGTAATCCCTTAGCAGAAAAACTTTGGTTGCGCTGTAAAAGATAACTTCAAATACTTAATATATCTAATATATCCAAAATAAACATAATTAAAATAGTTACTTCAGCGCATGTGTATGGTTTTTCGCCAGTATGAGAACGACGATGTTTTATCAATAGACTTAATACAGGAAATTTTCTATCGCAAAAGTCGCAAGCAAAAGGACGATTTCCTCTATGTTTAAGTTTATGCTTTCTGCGTCATTTTTAACAAAGTAATTTGAAAAAATCAAATATATTATTTCAAGTTTAGCAATAATTTTTGAAACTTACTTCAAAATTGATAAATTGGAAAAACAATTTTTACAAATGGGGCACATATTTTCTTCTGTTTTAGTTAATTGTGTGTCCAGATGACGCTTTAAATGTTCTTGTAAACTATCTAAACGAGAAAACATTTGTTTACACACCTCACAACTGATTGTTTCATATGTGTTCGATGAACAGGAAGTAGACTCCATATTAATTGCTTCCCTCTCAATTTTTTCAGTATTCTTCATCATATCTGCTTTTCGTAAGTGGTAATCACTATCGAACTGACAAAATGCGGAATGTTTTTTAAACTCCTATTAGAATGAAAAAAAGATTAAAAAACTATAAAATAATTTAAGCATGAGTACTTACACTATATCGTCTAAACGATTTGTGACATTTACCACAGATGTGTTTTTGAATACAATCGTCACCTTCTTGCTTTTCATCATCGCTTAAAGTTGATTCTTCCAATAGGTAACTATCGGTATTGATGACAGTTGATTCTGATGCTACAATAGGACACCCTTCGATCTTAACGGGAATGTTTTGTAGATCATCATGATTCATTTTCATTAATATTAGCTGTACTGGTCTACTTTCCACTTGTACCAAGTATGTTTGTTTAGGTGGAAATGCATTAGGCATGCACCCGTCACTGACAATTTCAACGTAATTAGTTTAGCGGCTAATACTTTGTTTTAACACTCGGTATAAAACTCGTTGTAATAATATAGTAAAACAGTCAGTAGTGAGCAGCAGCTGCAAATATAATAAGAATTTGAATGCCAACTCATAATTACAGAAAACTTTTTCATAACATAAAACTATTCTAACATAAAACTATACTATTCACATATACAATTTATCATGTGAAAAGACATTATCTTCTTTTATATTTATAGATATTGCTTAATGCACTACCGATATAATTTATATATATTTATTTTGAAATTTAATACAAATATCGCCTTTTCTTACTTTAATTACATTGAAAAGTGGAACTTAAATAGAATATAAAAAATTCTGTATCAATATTGATAAGTTAAATATATTTATAATTTCTGCTGTTTATTTATATAACGAAAAAATTTTTACCTCATAACATAAATAAATCTTAAACTCT